AAGGTACGTACCGATTTCTCTTTCCTCAAGTTACTGACTATTTCACAGCGTGATCATTCAAGGTACGTTTTCCTTCCGTCTTGGATCGAACGGCCTGACTGTCATTTCTAGATTTTTTATCGAAGGTGCGTACCGGTTTCTCTGTCTCAAGTTACTGACTATTTCACAGCGTGATCATTCAAGGTACGTTTTCCTCCCGTCTTGGATCGAACGGACTGACTGTCATTTCCAGATTTTTTATCGAAGGTGCGTACCGGTTTCTCTTTCTCAAGTTACTGACTATTTCACAGCGTGATCATTCAAGGTACGTTTTCCTTCCGTCTTGGATCGAACGGACTGACTGTCATTTCTAGATTTTTTATCGAAGGTGCGTACCGGTTTCTCTGTCTCAAGTTACTGACTATTTCACAGCGTGATCACTCAAGGTACGTGTTTCTTTCACCTGGGATTGAACGGACTGACTGCCACTTTCAGAGAAAACTCCCAAGGTGCGTGTCGGTTTCTCTGTCTTCTGTTACTGATTATTTCACAGGACGATCCTTGAAGGTACGTCTTCCCTTCATCTGTTTGAGCACACTGATTGGCATTTGCAGAGATAACTCCCAAGGTGCGTACCGGTTTCTCTGTCCTGAGTTGCTGACCTTTTCATAGATCGTCCGAGGTGCGTGTTTCCTCTCGGCTACAAGCGAGCGGGCTGACTGCCATTTTCATAGGCCGAAGTAAAGGTGCGTGTTGGTCTCTCTACTCCAAGCTACTGATCCTTTCACAGCGCGATTGCCGGAGGTACGTTTCTACTTTGATCTCGTTCCGAGCGGACTGATTGCCATTTTCAGAGAGCGACGAGAAAGGTGCGTGCTGGTTCCTCTGTTTCGAGTCACTGACTATTTCACAGGATACTACAAGGTGCGTGTTCCTCTCTTTGAATCGAACGGACTCACTGGTATTTTCAGAGAGCAGCAGGAAAGGTGCGTGTTGGTTTCTCTGTTCAGGTTACTAACGCTTTCACAGGATGCTCGTTCAAGGTGCGCGTGTTTTTTCCCCCATCTCATTCCGAACGGACTCACTGCCTTTTTAGAATGCAACGCGAAAGGTGCGTGTTGGTTTCTCTTCTAAAACGACTGACCCTTTCACAGCACGGGTATTCGAGGTGCGTTTTCACTGTCATCTTGGAGCGAGCGGACTGACTGCCGTTTTCACAGACCGACGGGAAAGGTGCGTGGTGGTCTCTCTGTATTAAGTTAACTTTTTGTCAGCGTAGTTGCTCAAGGTGAGTGCTAGTTTTGTTGTGAACTGAGCGGACTGACTGCAATTCACGGAGAGCGATGGAAAGGTGCGTGCGGGTTTCTTTCTCTCAAGTTGCTGACTCTTCCACAGGGCTCCCGGTCGAGGTGCGTACTTTCCTTCGTCGTGGTTCGAGCGGACTGATTTCTGTTCAAAGAGAGTAGAGGTAAAGGTGCGTGCCCGTTTCTTTGTCTTAAGTTACTAACTCCTTGACAGAGTTCTCGTTCGAGGTGTGTGTTTTCCCGGCCGTATTGGATTGAACGGACTAATTGTCATTTGCAGAGAGTAACGGAAAAGGTGCGTGTCGGTTTCTTTGTCTTAAGTTCTGACTCTTTTACAGCGTGATCGCTCGAGGTGCGTGCTACTTTCGTCTTGTGCCGAGCGGGCTGACTGCCATTATTCTCTAGAGCTGGGAGAAGAAGGTAAACGCGCCTTTTTCTTTTTGCTGCAAGTCGACGATGGGCTAACCACCAGTTGCAGGGCGGCTGCGATTTGGCGTTCCGCTCGGGGAAAGAAAGTAAGTCGCCCATCCACCGCCTTGTCACAGAACTGCAGTTGAAACCCCTGCAGGTTGATGTTAAGACCACGCAGTCGGCCAAAATCAAGGTGCGTCGTTCCGACCTTTGCGAACACGCTGATCAGCTGTATCACAGGATGCCGGATAGGTGCGTGTCTTCATTGACTATCGGATGCGGTTGATTGTCTCCTACCGGACGCTCGTGCACTCATGTCCCTCCCAAGAAAGAAAGTAAGTGCCTTTCCTCGGTCGTCGGCTGCTTCCCGCTCCGCCAGAGAACCGCGGTGACACCCCCACAGGTTGATGCTGAGACCATGAAGATCAAATGTACGAAAGGCGAGTAGCTCTATTTTGGCGAGAAGCCTGACTGGTTCCTCAGTCAGAGGGAACGCGAAAAGTCGCGAGTCCTCCTCTCACGTCTGATGGCTTCACTAGCATTCGTCGAAAAATGGACTTGCGTTGCGATAGCCCTCGGTTCTCGTCGCACCTGGTCGTTCTCGACAGCGCATTATGCTTGGAGGCGAGTGTCGCCTTTGTAGCGAGCGTTGATGCAATCACTGATCCTCTTGCTCAATGCAAGTTGTGGGACAGTTCCAATCCGAGCGAAGGTCGGTCGATATCGTTGCAACGTCGCGTGCGATGTATTCAAGCTTGTCGGGGTCCGGTTCCGTACCAAATTCGAATGTTGTTCATGGTATGAAGATTATATATACAGTAAGCCTAGATTGCCGTTGTAATGCATCACCACACCGTCATAAGATATCGAAGTCTGCGTCCGTATTCCGTGGTAGCATTTAGAGCTTGGAGCCGCGGCTGGCGGGTTCGCCGAGGGCGTACAGCCCGTCAAGTTCGGCCTTGTACTTGGCGTATGCGTCTTTGCTAGAGACAAGATGATGCGTGAGCAAGAGACGCATTACGAGCGATGTCTCGAAAGAGATCCTCACCGGCGAATCTTGAGCGTCGGGGTCAAGGTCCCGTTCTCCACTGTGAAGGGGTCCAGGGAGACATGTATGCGCTTGATCTGCTCGAATCTGGCGAGCTAAAAGTTAGTGTGATCTCCTACGATGAACAGACGGTGCACACGGACCCTTTGAGCGCGTTCCGCTTCGCCTCGGCGCTCAAAACCTTGTGGATCGCGTCGACAACCTTGGGGTCACGCGTCGCCTCCACGAGAGCGGCTCCGTCTTCCGCAGCGACGGGCTTGCTCCACGCCTTGGAGGCGAGCACGGCCAGCTGTACGGGGTCGGGCACGACGACAGCGACGAGATACGACTGTAGCGAGTCGCCGTGCACGTAGAGTTGCGCGACGATCGGCGAGGCGCTGTACAGGCCCTCGACTTTCTCGAGCGCGACGTACTCGCCCTGCGCGAGCTTCATGATGTTCTAAAATGCGGGTCATGAGTAACACGGACCGGTGTGGGAGCAGCCTTTGAGGTACAGTACCTTGACTCGGTCGATGACCTTAAAGCGACCGAATTCGTCGATCTCTCCGACGTCGCCGGTGTGGATCCAACCCTCATCGTCGACGGTCTCCTTCGTGTTCTTCTCGTCTGCAAAACCGGAGCATCAGTTATTGTTCATGGAAAAAGGGACCGTGTGAGCTATACCTTTGTAGTACGCCTTGAAGCAGTTGTCGCCGCGCACGCAGATCTCGCCTCGAGGGTTAGGCTTGTCCTCGGAAGTGTAGTTCATCGCGGGAACGTCAAGCAGCTTGATCTCGCAGCACGGCTGCGGCGAGCCGATAGTGCCTGAGCAGGTCGTGTCGTCTGGCCACGTCCGTGTGCACGTTCCGCAGTTCTCCGTCATGCCGTATCTGAGCGGTATATTCAGCGCGTGCTCGCCTTCCGCATCGCATTCGTGTGCGAACTCACCCCTCGATGACGGCGGCGGGGGCAAAGAAGATCTTCAGGTGCTCGATGACCTCTCTGCTGATCGGCGCCGACCCAGTACACAGCATCTTGATCTCGCCTCCGAGCACCGCTTGGATCTGAGAGACGCACGCGCTCGTTCAGTATACCAGCATCGGTCTTCGCGAAGATGGCCAGGTTGTGCGCACCTTCTTGAACACGAGCCGATCCCACAGCGCGTGCTCCCGGATGCCGGTCGTCCGGAAGCGCTCGAGTTTCGCCGCGACCGCTTTGCGGAAGAGCGTGCCCTTCACGCCGGGGGTGTTACCCGCGACCATCGCCGACTGGTAGATCCTGTTCAGCACGCGCGGGACGGAGGGCATGAACTGAGGCTTGAGGATCTGCGCGTCTTCGAGCAGGCGGAGCGGGTCGCCGGTGAAGTAACCGATCGATCCGCCGGCGCAGATGACGCCGGATTCCATGGCGCGCTTGCGATGCGTTCATGATTCACGCTATTCGCGAAACATCACGCGAAAGGGAGATGGCGTACCTCGTAAATGTGCGCTAACGGAAGGTAGGAGATCATGCGGCCCTTGTCGGGGATATCCAACGCGTACAGGTTGGCTTGGGTGGCGGCAGCCAAGTTACCGTGTGTCAGCAGTACACCTTTGGGATTGCTAGTAGTGCCCTGCAGCGGTGTTTGTCAAATTTCTGTCTCAAAGCTCATGTCTCACGTCGAAATGCTCACGGAGGTGTAACATATCGTCGCGAGCTGATCGGGCGTCGCAGGGATGGGTTCGATCAAGTTCTCCTTGCCCAAAGCCTCCACTAAGAGTCATGTTCAGAGACTGGTCTCCACATGAACGCGGAACTGTTGAGCTCACGTTCTCGTAGCGTCGTCAGTTTGATGTTAACCGAGTCCGCCCACGAAGTCAAGAGAGGCTTGGCTTCGGCGGAGAGGTCGTCTAACGATACTACCATCTTCAAGCACGGTATCCGCGGCGCCAACTTGAGCACGGTAGGGATATGTTGCGGGCCGACAAAGACTACTGTCAAGTACGCATGGTTGATGCTAATAGAGTGGTCAGCGACGGTGTCCAATTATTCTTGAGAGGGGGGGGGAGTGATAAATACATGTATTCTGTGGATGACGATTGGTCAACGAGGTCAGTAAGTATTCTGGGACATGCTCACCGACGGAGTCCTTGCCAAGGGTATCGTACAAACTGACCGAGACCTTTTGGTACGCGTTCATCGCGAGGTCGATGATCTGCCATTCTTTCGACAGGTCAGTTGAGCCGCATACGTAGCACTACGACGGAGGGAGGGAGGGCTCACCGGGCCTATTCTGACTCCACAGACCGACGGTCTCCAGTTCACCACCACCGAGCGTGCCGTCGCGGAACAGCTTGTAAACGGCGCTGCCCACAGCCCGTCGGCGCGCGTCCACCTGGGCGTACGTCTCCCAAACGTAGTGCTTCGCGAAGGTCAAGGGCGACGTGCTGAGCAGCGGGCGGTGCCCGAGCATGGGCTCGTCTCGGGACGCTTTGAGGCCGACCTCGAAGGCTTCGGTCATCGTCCGGAGGTGGTTCGGCGTGTCCAGGGTGAACATTCCGTAGCCGCCTGCGCAGCCCTCGTCAGCAACCTTTTCCCTTCGATCCCGAAATGCCGACTGTTCACGTACCATTGCGATAGTGCGCTGTTTCAGGTCGCGGAAGAACAAAAGGTGGAAGAGGTGATGAGTTTCTGGCCGCGTGCGCCCACGGCCGAGCGACGCACCTGTCTGCCCCGGCTTCTTGGTGCCAGGCACGGGCACGGATTGCTTGGTTAGGTCAAAGTTGGGCGGGAGCGCGACCCGCTTGTCGTCGGGTGTAGGCGCGAGTTGGGGTAGTTTCGACATGGAGGGAGCTTCGCGCGCGGACGTTGCAATCCTAACGAAGGGTTCAGGAAGAAGAAGGTGCTCGGGTTGCGATCAGTGCGGGGGAGCGGGGGGTTGCCCGGGGTTGCACGCTCGAGCGGTTTGTGATGGGTGTTCAGAGTTGAGACAAGCGCGTCTCGGTTCTGAAATGGCGAGGAGCTGACCGGAGGAGTCGGCTAATGGCTGGCAGAGGGCCCCCGAGCAACGACACATATGGGGGGCGCGGATCCTTTATTCACATGGGTCAGGCCGCTGGGTATCAGTCACCCGGCACCGTCCACTGCGCATGATATCGGTAAATCACGATCACCGACGGGCGCAAAGTTGAACATGTAAGAAGTGAACTAAGGGTTCAACCTGTTCGAGCCGAGCGATGTACGGTATATTATAAAAGCACATAGTCTGATATTTTACAAATACATAAGGATATAGACGATGCGTACGTGGTTCATTGCGTAGGTATCGTGGCAGATCGGCCGGGGAGCGGGACTAAGCGGCATTGGCATCATCACATGCGAAGGCAAAAGTCAGGAACAGGGTGGGGTAACATGACCAGGGGTTTTCAAGGAGCTTGCAGTACAATCTACGAAACTCCATGAGACACGGTCACAATCCGAGACGGGAGGAACCACTCGTACCTTCATGAACTGCTCGTAATTCACCGTTATCCAGCCATCGCGATCCGTGTCGATCCTGTAAGGGTTATAAGTCGTCCAACCTGGCTCCATTGTTTTGCTATGCAGGTCACGTACCGCTGGAAGGACTCCGTCAATGTTTTGACGACGACGCACGCCCTCACGAAACGATCGAACGTGATGCCCGGTGGGGGCCCGTAACCTTCCGACGGACCCGTAGCTAAGCGGAACAGCGACGGTCAGCGAAAGAGAGGGTGGAAGAAGGCATTGTCACTCACCATATTTCTGCTCTATCAAGCTCAAGATGGAGGGGGAGAGGTTGTAGCCGAAGCTGCGAAGAGCGGCTGAGAGCTCCGGTCCCTCGATGGATCCGGAGCGATCCTTGTCGAAATGACGGAAGACGTTCTGCCAGTCGGCGATGTATTTCCACAACCCAGAGAATTCTATAAGGGGGTGGGGGGATCAATGAGCTATCGTTCAAGTGGATGGGACAAGGATGAAAAGGCATGGGAAATGCGAAGAGGCGGGGGGAGTTTGTGCGGTGCGCGAGTCAAGGATATGGGGAGACCCACCAGCAAAGCCAATCGTACCGCTACGATCCGTGTCCTGTACCGTAATCAGCTGAGACCAGACGTCGAGAGATGCCACCAGACACGCACGAAAATGTTCATCAGCATCTTCACGGTATCGAGGTCAAAATCTATTATCGCATTAGGCGCCCGAGTCTCGCCCCGCATCGCATCGACTCACTCGTCCAGTTTCCTGGCGGTCAGAGTCAGCACACGAGCAGATAAAACAACTCGGATCACACTTACCGTTCACAAGAGCGCGCTGCAGCTCCGTCACGCTGATCGACCCCGAGCGGTCCACGTCCACGGACGAGAACCACTGCCAGAGCTGGGGGTCCGCGCCGGGCGGCGGACCATATCCACCGCCGCCGTAGGGCGTCGAGTAGCGCTGCGGGGGCGGACGGTACGATGCATTCGAGGGCGTATGTTGCAACTGGGCACCGTAAGACTGAGAAGGCCTTGATGAGAACATGGTGGTCGGTGAACGAGTGAGAAAGAGCAAGGAGTTCGTCTGCCCTGAGTTAGATCGGGCGCTCAGATTAGAGGCAAGTCACCCTCTTATAGCACGACCTTACGTCACATTGACTGGGCTGCATGGAACAGCCTCATCGCCAGTGCGGTGCACAGCAGTGCAGTCCTCGGGAGTTCGGGTGAGTCAACGCCAGGCGCAGCTATGGACACCAGATGGTGCTCATGAGACTGGAGATATAGAATGCCATTGCATGCAAGTCCTGGAGGTATAGGATTGGGGAGATCCGTAGAAAGCTACAGACGAAGCAGGCCTGCGCAGGAATATGAACGGTGCAGCCTTACGAACTCCATTCTTGAAAATTTGAAGGCAGCTTCATATCCGAAGATAGGTCTTGCAGCAACATCAGTAGAGTAGCAGAGACCCGCGTAGCTCGTCGCTTGCACGACTCCTCGAGGACACCTGCAGGCAAAGCCATCAGAGAAAGAGTAAAGGCTGTACGTAGAGGTATCTTGCTCTATTTCCGGCTTCCGGCGTCGTCTTGCACCGGTTCCGGACTGCCATCCCCACAGCAGCCTCGTCGTTTATAATAACACCTCGCTTCAGCCTCGACCCTGGCTGTCTTTCCAACGTTCCATCTATAATTCGTCAATTGCGGAGCATGTCGTATTTAGGGATCAAGGCGGTGATATTTGACGTACGGCCACTTTACAGCTGTACCTGTGTTGGCATTAACCGTGGGCCTAGGTCGGAGGCGTAGTGTGCAAGAGTCCTCTGATTGCCATAGCTGAATATGAACGCCAACACGGTTTGCCAAACAACTATATCAATTGTTCCATGTGCGTCGTCTCTGCGCGAGATGTTCAGATGCGGGCTCCGCTCATCCAGGGTCTTTAGCGTCGCTCGCGGGCGTCAAGGCGCATGGCAGAAGTTCGAGCGCGGCGAACTGCAGCTGTACGCGTTCTACGACGCGTTCGGGCGCGAGCTTTCCGACTTCGAGAGCGGAAACAGGTGGTACCGCGAGTACTGCGCGAGGAGGCAACTGAGTGCGTCGCTTGAGCCTCGTACATGGTCATATGTGTGTCGTTTCATTACTAAACCTCCGGATCCCTTTCGCAGCTTGTCCCGAGCTACCCCAGTCGCTCAATATCGACGGGCGCGAAGTAGGTGTGTTCTGGCCCTAAACCAGGTCGATAATGTACTAACATGGGTGTCAGCTCTTCGGACGGATGATGCGTGGTTCTCATGAATACGACGCCGTTGTCGTCGAAGCCATCCGGCGCATACGAGGCACGTCCTCCATGTCTACCAAAAAAAATATCCTGACGAATACACCTCCAGCGAGCGGAAAATACCGCGTGATCGCGCTGACGAACAACTACGCCGTCGCCTCGGACGGCATACCGCAGGACGAGCTGCGTTTCCTCGGCTGGGACGAGGGCCCGACCCCGGCCCGCCTCCGCGCGCTCTTCGACGATTTTTGCGACTCGAGCGCGCTGGGGATGCGGTGCGTCGCCCACTGTCTGAATACGCCGAACCCGTCGGTCGTACTGACGTCCCTCGTCAGGAAACCCGAGCCCGAGTTCTACCTCTTGGCATGCAAGCGGAACGGGATACGGCCGCAAGAGGCGATCTTCCTCGACGATCTCGGCATGTACGCGCTGCACCTTTGATCCTCTCGATCGGGGACGACCGAACTGACACCACGGGCGATTTTCGGCAGTAACCTGAAAGCTGCGAAGGAGCTGGGCATGGACACCATCCGTGAGTCGGGCACGCTTGTGCACGTACACCTCCGCTGACCAAGCTGATCTTTCTGCTTGCTCCAGACGTGCCCATCGGTGGCTCGCTTCAGGCCATCAAGAAATTGGAGTTCAAGCTCGGGGTGGATCTCACAAGCCCGACACCGTCCTCGAAATTATGACATGGCGAACAGCGTGTCGAGCTTTGGGGGCTATTGCTTGTTCGATCTGCTCAACGAAATGTAATGGACGAAGTTTGTTCCAAGGAATAGCGTAGATAATCTATTACATTCCGTCTAGAAGGGCTTGTCGCACGCGGGTATCTTGTCCTCGTAGTAGTTTCCGAGCTAGTTGTCGCCTATGGTTACCACCGACGCGTGCAGACAACCACGAAGCACTCACCACCGGAACCTTGACGAGAATATCGCGCTTGATTAAGGGTGTCACCGAAAGTAGCTACAGTGCATGTTGCCAAATCAACGTGGTGTTCGCAGACCATGGAACAGCTGGACGCACCAAGAGGGCAGCAGTGCCTGCCGCAGCGCCAAAGACGACCGAGCTGGTGCCCCATCGCTGCGATAGAGACTACATGTGCGTGTGATCAGGGGTTGAGTATAGAACCTAAGACGACAGGTGAACCCGCATGCACGACAGCTACGCACGGTGTAGGAGTGAGAGCCGATGCGTCGCCACGCGGGGATGGGGTGGAACTGGACCTATCGTCAAGGCAACAAACCAGTGTCAAAACGCTGCACTCCAGCCAAGAGAAAGGAGGGGTATGCGAACCCGAGACATATCTTGAGCGAGAGGAACGATTCGACGAGACTCACGAGAGAGGATGAAGTTGGAAAGAGTCGGAACTGCCGGCAGACGCCGAAGCCGCAGAGATTCTCAGCCACCGACCCTCTGCTTTCCCACTTCATCCTCCCGCGTTTTCCTTGGCTCCTGGTTTTTTTCTCTCTACGACGATCATCATCACGTTCTCTCGGCTCGTTCTTAGCAGACAAACGAGGACAGATTGTTATCACCATGGCGAACCCCAGGCAACGTCGTAAGGCCCGGTCTTCGTCGCACAAGCCCGTATCCCATTCGCGGCGAGCAAAGAAATTGCTGAAGAAGCAGCCGGGTATGCACACTCCTTTATTGGTACTCGATCTTTATCCCGTGGCCGAAAAACCCAAAACCGTCGTTTCCGTTTGATCTTTCTCGTAAAGCCCCCTCTTTTCTGATGGATATCTCTGCGAAGCCATACGCGGTCCCAAAGTTCTCCAAGAGGCTTGGGATCCCCGGAAAACCGTGAAGCAAAAGTGAGCCCTCTTTCCAACGGGCGTGTTTCTCCCTCCCCATGCATCGTGCGCATATATGCTGACTCAGACAACTCGACCAATCTCCAGCTACGCGGCGCTCGGTCTGATGCACTCACTCAACCCTGTGGCTTCGGGGGGCATGGAAGTCGACGGTCCCGTCGCGGGACCCAGCAACAGCTCAGGGACCGCTGGGACCGAAACCGAAGCTTCGACTTCGACGCATTCAAATTCCACCACGGGCTTACGGCCAGGGTTTGGCAGGATCGTCCGAGACGCCGCGGGGCGCGTGGTGGACGTGGAGCTGGGAGAGGAGGAAGAGGAAGTGCCGGCAGCGGATGGGGAGAAGGGCGACGGCTCTGATGCGTTCACGCCTCTCGCCACTGTGGAAATCCCGCAGGAAGGGACTGCTGCCGATTGGGCATCGGTCCGTACGCGCGGTGGAGGAGGAGGAGGGGCTACGTCCGGATCGGGCAACGAGGTCGTGCAAGGTGCGTTGTCGTGCATCGTTACCCTCCACTTCCTTTCTATTTTCCTTTCTATTTTTTTTTCCCTTTCGCCGCGCATGTGCGTGTGCCCGTGACACGATGATTATCGTCGCCGAGCGCGGATCGCTCGAACCTTATCTCTCGCTCGCCCTCCTTTCTCTCGGTCTCGGGCGTGCCGGTACTGACGTTGCCTATCTTTCCCTCCACACTTTTGCAGCTCTCGCGCAGATGACGTCGGAACAGCGGCAGGCTATCCGGACTTCGTCGTCTGGCGAGGTGGGCTACCTCCGGCGCCTAGTCCAGGCCCACGGGCGAAACGTGGCGGCGATGGCGCGGGACCGGAGGCTGAATACGGACCAGAGGACGGAGGGTCAGCTGCAGCGCGCGATCTCGCGCGCGGGCGGGTTCGAAGCGCTTGAGGAGGCTCAGAGCTAGCGGCAGGCCGGGCGGGAGCGCGTTGGATAAGATTGGATGAGGGGGAGGTTCGGCGGACGTCACGAGCCGGTGGCTTCGAGGTTATCACGGCGGCTTCGGGGGTCGCTTCTGGCCGAGACTGTGCAAGGACGCTGGAGGAGGGATGGGCTGGAGGGATGATGACGAGGAGGCGGAAGATTAGCATGTATGTGGACGGTGCGTGCCCCCACGAAGGGCGGTGTCGATTCCCACCAGAGGAAGCGGGAGGGCGCCACTTTCTGATGAGTGTGCGGGCGTTGCCTTGGAGAGGCTGGACCGGGTATGAGAGAGATGTCGGATCTCTGGGCGCTGGCTGCGTCCAAAGGGGCGGCGAAGAAAAAGGCACGGATCCGTCGATTAGATGTTGTTCCACCACATGGCTACACGTGAAATGAATAGACGTAACGAAGCTCGCCCGTCCCCGCGGCCACCGTCTTAGGCTGGCAATGGCACACACCCGCCACCCTCTCGCGCGATCAATGGTCTGAGCCCCCGCGCGCGTCCGGAGTAAGCCCGGGTACACTAACACGTCCTCTCCTATCTTTCTTTCGTGTCCCCCTCCCCTCCTCCTCCGTCCGAAACATTGGCCGCCATGTCCCCCGTCGACGAAAAGCGCGCCACCCTGGGCCCGCCGTCCACCAGCTCGACCTCCTCCTCCCGCGCGAGCCCGCCGTACCCCACCGCCCGCTCGACGCGCGCCGCGTCCGGCTCGCACAACGCCCGATCAACCCGACAACAATTTTCGGCGTGCGGCGCCTGCCGTATGCGCCGGTGAGACCTGATCGCCTGCCGCGGCATGGACTCGGGTGCAGCTAACGCGAATAATGACCACCCCCACAGCGTCCGGTGCGATCTAAAAGACTTGCCGCTGCCCGCCAGTGGACTGCGCCCCTCCTGCTCGAACTGCGCCGAACGCGGCCTCAAATGCGTGTACGTGTCCGTGTTCAACAAGCCGTACGCCCCCCCCCCAGCTGACCCACGCACCCTCCCCCCCTCACGTCTGCCTCTCTCCCTTCCCCCCCTTCGTGCCACAGAGACGAATTCGCCGAAGTCAAGGCCGTGAAGCTCCTCCGCCGCGGCCGCAGGTTACAACAGGTCGAGTACGCCCGGATTGGATTTATCCATTCAACGTGAACTAAAAACCCTCTCTGACTCGGCAATCTGATTGTGCGCCACAGAGCCGTATACGGCAAGGCGGAGGACGAAGAGGACGGCGCGTCCGCCTCGCCGCACGGCAACCTCATCCCAAAACTGCAGCCCGAATTCTTCGACTCGCCCTTCTTCCGCCGACTGCACATCCAACGTGAGTGCCACATCTCCCCCCCCCTCCGCCGCCGTGTTACCCCAAAGGGCGAAAGGCGAAAAAGACGCACCTACCAAGGCAGCAGGGCGATCGATCCGACGCGCAGACTATCCAATGACAATAGACTGACTCACGCGATTCGCTTTTTTCTTTCCAGGGCCGATCATCGATGCGACCGAATTCTCCGCCCGGTTCTTGGCGTTCTCGAAGGGTGACGCGAGCGCGCTCAGTCCCGCCGGCCAGCTGATCGCGAGCATCCTCGTCGTATGGGGCGCGAGCTTCGGCGTGAACGAGTACGGCGTCGAGGAGGAACACGTCTTCGCGGACGAGCCGCAGTCGCCCTCTCCGGAAACCCTCCAGCGGCGGCGAGACCGCAAGGACATGACCAACCGGATGCTGCAGCAGATACTCAGGATGATCGACGTCCACGGCATCCTCCGCAAGCCAAGCTGGGACGGCGTCCGCGCCCTGCTGCTCACGCTTCCCCTGACCGCAGAGGTGCAGCCACCCATGGAACGATTGGTGAGTACCGCGTTCTCCGTAAACCTTCGCGGCCGGCCGCCTGACACAACGGACAGTCCATGTACGAAGCGACGCTATCGCAAATATATACGCTATGCAGCCTGGCACCCATATCCTCGGTGTCGAGCGGCCAAGGCGATCAGATTGATGCCCTCGTCCGCGCCCGGATATTCTGGTATGCCCACATCCACGAAGGTGTCACGAGCGGCCTGCGTGGGGGCCGCGTGACCCTGTAAGCGCATGGCCATTGCCTCCACCGAGCGCCCCCCATTGACTATGACTATAATCCTCAGCACGGAAGACGACCTTATCTCCTTTCAGCAGACCCTGCCCGATTTCCAGTCGGCACCCCTGTTCCCTGACGCGTTTGGGACCACCCCGGGGGCGTCCCGCTCGACCCTCTCGTATTCGCTGGCGGCCCGCTACGCCTCGCTCCCGCTTCGAATTTCATCAGCATGCCGGCAAATCCACGACGTCCTCACCGGCCCCAAAGCACGCCAGAGGTAAAATCTCTCGCTTTTTTTTCCTTGGCCACCCATCTCCTCGCGTTTCTCAAAAAAGGTTAACTGGGTCAGGAACAGCCTCATCGACGAAATCGCGATGAAAGACGCCTGGGACGCGCTCGAAGAATGCTGGAGGGGTCTCGAGAACGTAAAGGAGTGCGGCACCGCCGGCGTGGTGCGTGTTGTCCTGCAGGCCCGGTGGCGACGGCGTCTTCTGAATTCAGTCGCAGGTACAGGAGGAAGACATCGAGCGTTTCATTCATGGCTGGCAGGTAGGTAGTTCACTCATTTCCCGTAACCCAACTTTCCCGTTGCTTACCTCTCCCTCTCATCCGGCTAGATATTCATCTTCGAGTGCCGTAAGTCCCCGTGTTCCAAACAAAGTGGCCCCCACACACACACGCCCCAGTCTGATAACGCATAACGTAAACGTTGCTAGATAACATCATTCGCGAAGGGCTGAAGCAGCGGCTGATGTCCCTGGCGCACATGCAACCAGACTCGCCTCAGTCGTATTACCTGACGGAAGGCGACGAACAGAAGCCGGTCGGGCTGCGGCACCTGCGGCAGCAGCAGGCGGAACGGCTCCACGCCGTCTCGTCAGCCAAGTGTCACCAGGTCGTCCTCCGCGTCGTGCGGATCATCCGCCACCACTTCGCCAGCCATAGTAAGTCCTCCCCTTCTCTCCTCTCGCGTGCGCGTGATGCCGAGCTGACGCCATTACCCAACAGATGGCGACCCGCCCTTTTTCGCATACGACGCCTCGCTCATGCGCGACGGCTGCTTCTTCGCCGCCTTCCTGCTCGCGTCGGACGACAGCGGCGCGTACGCCGGCGGCGAGGACGAACTCACCGCCGACATCGAGATCTGCCTCCGCGCGCTGCGCGCCATGCGCTGGGGCTTTTCGAAGAGCGAGGAAAGGGAGGGCACGGTCCGGATGGTCTGGGAGGCGACGCGGCGGAAGCGGCTCGAGCGCGCTTCCGCCCTCCTGCAGCAGAACGCGCAGAACCCGGTGCAGCACATGGGCTCGCTCGCACCGCCGCCGCCCGAAGCGCGCGGCCAGCGTCCCTTTCTCACGCCGCTCGCGCTCGCAGATCCTGCTCCGGCGGGCATGTCCGTCCGCCAGAGCGCCAGGACGGACGGCCTCTCGCCGTGGTCGGCCGGCCCCGTGTCGGCCGCGCCGCTCTCGCCCGTGCAGCAGACGCCGACCTCGCACGGCGGCTCGCCGTCCCAGCCCACCGCGCCGGCGTTCGTACGCCAGGCCTTGCCGCCGATCGCGACGTCGCATTTACCCGCGCACGACAGGTCGCCTCCCAGCGCCGGACCAAGCTCTCACACCCCGGCGACAGCCTTCAACGACGGATTACCGCCGATACAAGCATCCTCGTATTATTACCCTGGCCAGGCCTACGGCTACGCCGCCGGCGGAGAGATGGAGAGGGCCGGGGGCCCGATGCAGGGCATGGAACCCCCGCGACAGATACAGCTGGATCCTGCGCCGGGCCACCATCGCCACGACGCACCCGCAGACTCGTCCCTGTATCCGACCTGGTCACCCTATTCGCCGGCGTATCCTCCAGATCCCACGGTGTATCAGCCGCCGCAGGAGTACGACGACCCGTCGCTTGTCTCCCTCCGGTTCTGAACAACAAATTACCCCTGGCCTCGCCCTTCCTCCCCATTGATCCACCTTTCGTTCTTCCATTTGCAGGATGTGCTGCTGGATCAGTCGGCTCCTGCCTTTCGGATATCAGCGCTCAGCGGACAATCTTTTCCCCCTCCTCTCTCTCTCTCTCGCATGATCCCCGTCTCTTCGTAGTTCGTGCTACAATTCAGTCTCGGTTATGTTGTATCCGCCCTGTACCCTACATTACTATGGTTACACAGACTATAACAGCCTCTGTCCCGTTACTATAATGCTGTATTGGTAGACTCTATGCTCTGTATTTGCGTTTTCTGTTGCACGCCTCTGTAGCGCGTTCGCGATGACGAATTCGACCCTTAGTCGATAAGACCGCTGAGCACTTCGGCTGCACTCCTCGACATCGGTGTTTTTTCGCTCGCTGTCTTCATTGGATGGGATCATCGGGCCTATGACAAGGCCGGGTGGCGATTGCTCACGAGCCCGGGCTGGTCGGGCGTTAGCGAATCAACGGGGCGGATGACGATAGGCTGCGATAGGCTGTACGTCGCAGGCTAGCAACGCCAGGGAGCACACACCAGAAGAGAAGACTCCCTCGATCAGTAGCCTCGGGCTCGCGTCCTTCTGACTTTCCCAAAGCGTCATCACGATAGCGAATTTTGCGGTCCTCGTTCAAACCGAGCATGCAGTGCTGGGGTTCCGGTGGCCATGATCAGCGTGTGTACGCGCAGCGGCAGAATAACATGAGTTGCATCATGACAGTGCCAACGCTCGACACGGCGCTCTCACCGTCGAACGGTCCGTTACGCCCTTGTTCCACGCCGAAGTTCTGTCCAAGGCCGTCGAGGGGAATTACCCGGATCGGACCAAGTGCATCTTATCACGGAAGCGTCTCTTGGGGCAGCCGCCAACGTGACCGATCGCCAGATTGCATTGCTGCTGGCAAACCATTGGACCAAGATGCTCGGAGCTTAGGTCCTGCACAGACTAGTTCACGGCCGAAGGCTCAGCGGACCAGGTAAGACATGTGATTGAAGATCAAGTTTAGCTTGTACTCCACATATAGCATCGTTCGCAGTTTTCGAGGCAATGACAGCAGGAAGTAGTCGCATGTGTTCACCGATCAAGGCGACGCTGCCTCGGATATTCAGTCTTTTCGGAGAGTTCCAGAGAGTTTCCAACAAGCGATCAAGGGAAAAGACGCATCAGAACAGCTCCTCCGAGAAATCGGAGTTGCTTCAGTAACGATGTCCCCATTCCTTGTCTTCGTCCTCCTTCACGAGCATACCGTATGCAGACCTTGCGCCGTCTCGCTCAGAAACACTGTCCATTGAGGACGATGAGGAATGAACCCGAATTCGTGGGAATGTCACGAGTAGGATCACTCACTCTGGCGGTGTGACATCATCCGGCGCGAGGGCGGCAATGCTCTGGGATCCGCAGCCGCCAAGGGACTCGTGCTGTTGAGCTCAACGGCGAGCCGCACAACTTGCTTTCAACTACGACCAGCATACATGGATTTCTTCTTCTGTGAGTATCTAGACATGTTCTGATCTCCGTTGTTGTTGACCATCGGCTTGCAGGTCTTCCGATTGTTTGTAAATTATCCGTATGATACAACAACCGGAGGATCGAGAGCTCATGACCTGCCGCAGTTGGATGCCCCACCAAGATCTCTCAAGAGGGCGACGGATCACCGCGGGTATGCCCAAGGTGTAACAACGGTAAGCCTCTGCGTATCGATGCATCTATTGTTGCCGTTTAACGACGTGGTTTCTCCAAGCTTCGGTCTTCCAAGCGAAGGTTCGTCTTGAAGCGTCCTATATTGAATGCATCGTTACTCATACTTCCCCAAACTCAGTCCAGGACATGGTTCGAGATCTGTTTCGTTCCCCTTGTTCCGATGAAATCGAAGCACATCTGGCAATGCGGGATTTGTCACTGGAGCGTTCCCCTGCAGGACGGGTGAGCCAACTTCTCCCTTCACCGAAGTCTTGCTAACTATGATGGGTCTTAGCTGGGAACCAGCTCGTCCTGGTCAGAACTACCAACCAGGCGGACAGTACTTCGTCGTACAAAGCCCTCCGGCTGCTTGGCAGGGTGGAGGTTATAACGGCGCGCAACCAGGATATCCAGGTCACCAGCCCAACTACGGCACGCCTCATCACGGCTGATCCCACCTCGACCCCTCGCTGCTTATCACCTGTATCTGTATGACACGCCCTTATGTTTGTATTGCCAGTTCATAGGATCGAATGTATGCAATATCGGACGGGCAACATGTGCTACATTCTCTGTTTCTTGACATGCTTCTTGAACAATCGTGAACGACTCAGTCTCAGGCTCGTAAGCGTGACGAGAACGCCGCTAATCAAGCCCGCTGCCAGCGCGATGAAGTAGACACCCGCGGCGCCAGAAAGGTCCACTCGCCGAGCACTAGCGATGTGAGCCGTTGACACGGAAGGCAGCGGATCCGGTCCTCGCGCGCTGCGGAACGCAACCAGGGCTGCTGACGGATCGGTGGTATTGATCAGCCCGACCCTGAGTGGCTGCGAGCTTGTGGGCCCATGATGGACGGCGTACACGCTCTGCGGGAAGAACGGTTGCGTAAGCGAGCCGGTATACAGCGCGCACAGCGGATAACGGAAAGGAAACTTGCACGAAGAAAGGCGTCCCCCAGGAGCCAATCGCCAGAGTTGACCTGGTGGTAGTGGAGGTGGATTGGTGAGAACGAGGGGGTTATTATTGGGCGGAAATGAAGAATGTTTGAACGTGCCTTGTCATTGGCCTGCACCCCGCCCATGCACCAGTCCCCGTCGCGCTGGACGTTCATCTGGCTGACGTCCGCCGGGTCAATGAAGAATGTCTGGCGGTGGGCATTGTTGCCCAGGACGAAACCGACTGTCACTCCTCGGTTACAGCGAACCTGCCACGACCCTGAGATTTGCCTCGCGCCACCGACTGTATGCCAGAAGTTCTTCACGTCCGCAGAAGGACCCAGCACGTAGGTGGTGCCGGAATCGAGCTGTGACATCAGACCGTTAGTCTGCATGGATCGATGATCGAGCACCCTTGGGTTTACAAACAGACCACGGCAATTTGTTTCGAGGAACCTGGGACCTTGGAGGACCCGAGCCGGACGGAAGCGCCATCGACCGCGATAGACTCCACAGACACTTTCCAGTAGTCATACGCGCCGCTAGCAAGCGGGCGAACGGGAACGTAGAAGAAATCGTCCAGGGTCTTCGCAGTAGAAGCGCGAGGGTCGAGCTCTCCCATCGTGAAGGATGACTCGAGGTCGTCGTTGCTCAGCCGCACGGAGAAGAACCGCCTGTCTTCTTCGAAGCTATCGAACAGATTGGAGAGCAATGGCCGGCCGGCTGTTGCAGAAATAGCGGCCTCGATGGGGAAGGCTAGGCCGAGGATGCCGCTGTGTCCCATGCCAGCTAGGTTCATGCCCTGTGTGTTGTTTGCGAGAGCTACCCATGACTGTGCATCAGGTTACGGCGCTGTAGATTGCGGTCTGTGCTGCGATGGAACTCACCAAACGTCTGAGACGCGACCTGGTAGTTCGCTGCCGTGACGGTCTCAGTGCCTATTAGCCCGCTCACATTGCCGCTCAGATAGTTCAGCGCAAAAGGTGCGCCGGAAAGGTGTAATGTCGATGTTCGATGGTACCGGGGTACGGCCAGACAATCGGCGTTCGAACATGCGTCAGACACAACCCACTGCAAAACGCTGCATGAACGAAGAACCAACATCGGACAGAACGTTTGATTTCAACGCACTAAGTCCGCAGAGCCTGTGTCTAGTATCACGTTGAAGGGCTGATTGCCGACGCTGTTGCAGGTAAGAGACGGCTCCCGGCACGAAGGGTTGCAGCGCACTCACAGTATCTCGGCGAGGTAAGCGCTGCAATCGCATTCCTGGATGTTCTTCACGCTGCCGACGTTTCGTGGAGGGGTCGAGAGTACTCACAACCCGTGTTTATCATGCAGCGGCGTGCCGGGATCCCGAGAACTGAAATCGTGGCCGGGTGGGGTTCGCGATGCACGTTTCAGGGAAAACCGGGAAGTTCGCCGGGTTGCAGAAGAAGAAGTCCGCTCTGCAGCCACATTGCGGAAAGGGACCGAGACCGCCCAGGTACAGATCACGGCAGCACGAAGAAACGGGAGGAGGAAGCGTAGGGTAGCCAAGAGCCTAACGCGCGCATCGTAAGGGACCCACAGAGCGTGTATGAGTCCAGGCATGCCGTACGGCGGAGCGGGTATGTGGCGCATGGAGGGAGACCCGCCTTACGAGAAAAGAAGTGCATCCATGGGAGGCGCACGACGAGGCCGAGTTGTGGCGAGTAAAATATAGATTGACATTCGACTTGCACTGGACACTCGGTTAACACGGAACGGACGTGCATTGACGCAGGCTGACAACGGATGCCGATCCAACCACGTCCCGAGTCAAAGCGGCAGCGGGTCATCTTGTCCAAGCCTCGAAAGATGTTTTATCTGGGCCATGTATTTCGGTGTGGGCTGGCTATGCATCATTGACAAGGGGCTGTTTGTGAGATGATTGCTGCACTCGTGAAGCGGAAGTCTCAGCTTCAGGGCAGGAACGGCTGTTCAACCGTTCCGCCAGAGGTCAGCGGACACAGCATGTGTTGGTTCCCCCGGAAACCTTTGAATGACGATACAATGAGCATGCCACTGTTCACTGAACATGTGAGAGTCAGCATTATCTGGTTGCGATCCCGCATACACTCGGTCGACATGCCGCGTTACCGTCATTTCATCAGCGCCAACTCGTGCGTATGATCTCAGAGACGCCGCGCTGTCCCCAAGCGGGTAACGGTCATTGGCCGTGGTCCTTCATCACAAGCCCCCCATGCGACATCATTGCGCCATACAATCGCCCATTTAGCAGCGCAGCCCGCTGCGCTTATGTCCAGAGGACTGGAGACCCGGTTTGGTTCGTAGACCGTAGTCTCAGTTCACTTCTCGATCAGGTCCCACCGGGTGTTTGACGCCCATCATTCGGGGCCTGAGGCAGGGCAGCCAGGACAACGCATGCAGAGCGACAGCAATACAACTGGTCGGATGTCGGATGTCCGAACGCCACGATGCAGTTTCGATAGTCCCGTGCAAGGGTGCGATTCCAGGCTCCCCTTCATTTTCGTGAGAGAGGGAGAGAGAGAGACAAGCGCGGTGCTCTCGGCGTCGGAGGCGCGCGAGGAGGCGGTGGCGGCGAAGGGACAGCCGCGCCTCGTGCCGGTTCCACGCATTCGTCACTCAACCACTCGCCGCCACCCACACCGACAACGACCACCTCTTGCTCGCCGTCCCCTCCGCCATGCACACCAGCGAATACGACTACCTCTTCAAGCTCCTCCTCATTGGAGACTCCGGTGTCGGCAAGGTGCGCGCGCCTTTGTTCAGATAACAGGACGACTTTGATGGGGCTCACTCGCGACTGCGTTTTGTCCTTTGCGTTGTATAGTCCTGCTTGCTCCTCCGTTTCGCGGACGACACGTACACGGAGAGCTACATCTCGACTATTGGTGTTGACTTCAAGATCCGGACGATTGAGTTGGAGGGCAAGACCGTGAAACTGCAGATTGTGAGTAGTCACGGTCGCTTCGTAATGATTCGTGTCGTCCTGGCGCCTGGTTTGCGCCTGGTGGAGTCGACCGTTGGCAGGACTCTCTCTGGAACGACGCTTGCCACAGGCCGACTTCACCGGGTTCGGACGACGGTGGCCACGCTTCCTCCCTTCTCTGCCTTGTTCATGAGCGCGTCACGCTAACGTTGCCCTTTCCGTCCAAATTAGTGGGACACTGCAGGTCAGCTCGTTGCTCGACTTGAGAGCGCCAGGTCGACTCAATTCCGTTTCATTCGCTCATAGGGCAGGAGCGCTTCCGTACGATCACGTCCTCGTACTACAGAGGGGCACACGGCATCATCGTCGTATACGACGTCACCGATAACGGTATGCCGAGCTGCGTGCCCGTTCCGCAGCTTTCATATGACGCTCATATACGTGCGTTCGCCAGACACGTTCACGAACGTCAAGCAATGGCTGCAGGAGATTGACCGCTACGCGTCTGAGGGCGTGAACAAGCTCCTCGTCGGCAACAAGTCGGACTTGACCAGCAAGAAGGTGGTCGAGTACAGCGTGGCCAAGGTGAGGCAAACGATGCCAATCTCTGTGCGGGTTCGTCCCATTCTCACTCGCCCGATCACCCGTTTTTACGTATAGGACTTCGCGGACCAATTGTCGATTCCGTTCCTCGAGACCTCGGCGAAGAACGCTACCAATGTCGAGCAGGCCTTCTTGACCATGGCGAAGCAGATTAAGGACCGGTATGTCATCCTGCAGCTCATGTCCGCGGGAGTCGCTGACGGTCTCCGTCACCGTCTGTCAGGATGGGATCCACCTCCACCGCGTCCGGCCCCGGCAAGACCTCGACCGTCACGCCCGGACAGAGCGTGCAACAGCAGGCCTCGGGTGGCTGCTGCTAAGCAGCGTACCTACCCGCTCGCGCCTCTCTTCCGCTCGCCGCCTATGCCCCGACCCTTACTGCCCGCCCCTCTAAGCGGGCCCACCTCATCGGACATCTCGCGTGTCTCGCCACCCTGCAAATTTCCTCCCTCTTTATACCGTTGCGCTTTCTCGCCCTCACTTACTGGGTAAACGAGTGGCAGTAGTAGACGTTGTCAGCTAGGCTACCGGGCGGATGTGAACGTTGTTGTGTGATATATTCCAGGATGCTTGCTTGCCACTAATACAGTACGGATTCCCTTTAAACCGTATCCGAAGTCGCCACGCCGTGAGTGGCTATTGGCCGAGGGTGTAAATCTGACATTGGGTTGGCGATCTTCTTTGCCGTCTATACATATGCATTGATCACAATCTGAGAACTCGCGGCACCCCCCCCCTCCCTGGTTGGCATGCGTGCACGCACGAGCGCGCGAACGACGCAGAATTTAGAAGGCGCTGCGCAGTCCGTATCGGTGTAATGTATACGTTCCGTTCGTATTTATTTCGGGATATTTCGCGTTCTCGTATGTAACGTCCGTGACCGGGCGCCCATGCAAGGCCCACGCCAACGTCGACGCCAGATGGCGCTTGGCTCCGCCGAGCCGTGCCTTGTCTTGCCGCTAATAGCCGCTCGCTATACTTATGGATACCGATCCGCATCGCTCTCTCTAGATCTCATCTGATTTGCTGTTACATTAACACAACCCTTGGCTGAGCTGCGGAGCCTGCGTACGATGCCCGCGTTTCGGCAGGGTCCTTGGCCGCTTTTATTGCAGGATTGGGCCGAAATCGGCTCACGCACTTGGCGATATATATATATATGTCAGCGATATCGCTGGGGCTGAGCAATGTAAAGTAATACTCAAAGAGTTAGAGCGAATCGTTGGGTCATGGCGTGCACCGTATCGCATATCGCGTGGAGGCTCGGACTTGCCCAGAGCCACGGCCATGGCTGACTGACCCCCTTCGAAACTGCGCCCGAAGGCCGCCCCCCCTCCTTACAACTTTGTAAGGCGATACATATATGCTGCATGGCTCACGACGCTGATCGTTTTTCTGTCATGCGGCGCAGGCGAACAAGGGTACTTGTACATGCAAATAGACGATAAGTTCGGATGCGGTTGTGTCTATTATAAGAGTACAAGAATGCGGCGGGCGGAAATGCTGATGACGATGTGAATGATGATGATGATGATGATGAGGTTACTACTACTGCATATGCAAACAAATGTTGGTTGTGCAAGGTCCTTCTTTCTTCGTTGAAACCGAGCCGCTTTTTCCCCCCGCCCCCCGCTCCCCCCGTTTCCGGCGTCTGCGTGCGATGAATGAGGAAAAAGAGATCAGGTGTCACTTTCATCCGGGCGTATGGGAGCGACCTCTCATCCGGGCTCCCGTGGTACCTCCTGCTTCCGACTCCCGAGAAGTAAAATCCGTTCCAAGTTCATCGTTCATGCCCCCCCCCCCTCCCTCCCGGGTGAATGGGATCCGTTTCTCCCTTGTTTTTTCTTTTACAGCCTCCGGGGCCCAAAAAGCTCAGCGATTCATGTGAGGCGATTCGAAAAACGTCGAGCGTGCCGTGTCCGTGCGTGCGGGCGTGCCTGGGTGGTGAAGTGCGGTAGCGCCCTGAGCTCGGTAAAGATCGCCAATCTCCCCTTTCCCGCCCCCATCCCCCCCCCCTCTCCTATATCCGGCTATGGCCGAAATCGCTCTTCTTGCCAAACGGACCGTGCGACAGGACGGGATAAGAAGAAAAGAAAGATGGGTATAAGGTGCGTGCGGAACCCGTTGGGCGAGCGTGACAGTCCGGCTCTAGCGAAAACGCAGGCCACACGGGCTAGTGTAGAGAACCGAGTGGTTGGCTTGGTAACGCTTTCTAAAGCGCTTACCACCGATGCAGGATGCGTTGAGAGAGAGAGGAGGCGCGCCGGTTCACCGCCAGCCCGCGCTGATCCCGTACTGCGATGCGTATGCGAGCAACCGTTCCCGCGGGCCGGTCGACGACGCTGCGGGCAGGAGCATGGCTGCGGAGGAGGAGGAGGAGGAGGAGGAAGAAGAAGAAGAGGAATAAGAGGCGGGACCGGCGTGCGGCCTCCTGTGCCGCGAAGACGCCGCCGTCGTCGCGCTCTTCTTCTTCGTCGTCGTCGTCGTCTGGGCCGCGGTTGGGAGCGCGACCATGCGCCGCTTGTTCGCCGATTCTCCCGGTTCTGCTGCTGCTGGGGCGGCGGGGGAGGAGGAGGAGGAGGAGGAGTCGGCGCGCTTGCGCTTCGGCGGCCGGTGGGTGTAGGGCGAGTGGGAGAGATCGTCGTCGACGTCGGGGAGGTCGGCGAAGCGGAGAAAGGTGGGGGAGTGGTAGGGGAGCGGTTTGGGCGCGACGAGGGGGACGGCGCAGACGACGTGGATGGGTTCCGGGGTCGTGCAGGGCGAGGGGGTGGTGAGCGCGGAGGAGGACATCGAGGAGCACGAGTCGGACGGCGAGGGCGGGAAGTCTGTGTGTGTAGTGGTGTTTCTTGTTAGGAACCGGGAAGAAAAGAAAAATCCGTGTGCGGTCGCTTGGTGAGAGAGGAACTTACGGATGACGTCCGGGAAGGGTGGGCATGGCGGTAGTGCGCTGCTGCCTTCGTGATAGGATGGTCCGTACGCGGCGAGTTCGGCGGGCATCGGGTATGGCGGCCACTGGAAGGCGGACTCGAGGGTGGGGAAGGTGAGTGGCGCGGGGTAGGTCATCGGTGCGGTAGGGTAGCCGTAGACGGCGGAGGAGGGCCCGGCTTGCGGGGGACGGGGGGCAGCGCGCACGACGGGCGGGGAGGACATGGGTAAGGTGCTGAGGGAGATGTCGAGCGGCTGGAGCTGGGACTCAGTGCTGATGCTGGCGGCGGAGGGGACAGCGGGCATGGGGCGGAAGGAGGTCACGACGGCGATCGCGCGCTGGGGGTCTTATAGTGCCGGGTGGATAGTCGGAGGCGGTCATTGATTCGGTTGGATGATGTTGCAATCGCTTTGGGCCGCTGTCACGGCTGCGTAACGCGGGGGCTGAGGGGCGCGGGTGGTTCATGGGCATGGCTCAAGGGCAGCCGTGGCTGGGCGCCGCGTGTAAGTCGGGAGAAATCAGCTACGGAGATCACATCGACCGAACCGGAAGAGCTGCTCACGCGAGCTCGGCTTCTCTAGCTTGCCACCGCGGCTCACGAAACGCAGACCCATCCGTTCGTCTTGCGTCTCTTTCTCTCGCGCACACGCCCATTTCGCAGTCGCGCTCGCAACATCATCTCTCAAGGTGCGCAACACCCCCTTTCCCGCGGGGGCTTTTTCATCAGCCCCACCTGCAAACGATCACGCTCCCTGATCGATCCGCCTGCCACCCGGCTGCTGTATCTCTCTTTGTGTCTCTGTTCGCTCCGCGTCTGGCAGGGCGTTCCTTTATTTTTAGGGCTCGTTTAAGGAACCCCCTTTGCCGCAAAAAGGAAAAGAGACAAAAAAGAAAGTTCAATAATCTCGGTTTCAGATGCAGAACCACCAGAACCTTCTTCTTTCGTGTCACCAGCTTCTACCGCCAAGCGACCGCGAATGGTGGTATCGGCGCCGCCACCCGGTCACCTAGCAGCCACTACTGTCACTGCTCTGCTCATGCCCGCCGGTCGAGCACTGCTGCGACTGCGACTGCCACCGCGACCGCGGCTAATGGAACCTGGTGCTGCGACTGGACCCGGTCATGCCGCACCGCCCTCGCCCTCTCCGTAACTTCGTGACCCGTTACCGCCGGCAGCAATCTACCCGTGTACACCGACATTAGGAACTCGAACCGCGTCCTGGTGTCTATCTGAAACGTCCAGGGCGATGCGCCGGTGAGACAGCTTTCCTCTCTCCACATTCATCAACCCTATACTTGACACGCCCCTGCGTTCCTTTTACCTTCCTTTCCTTTATACCTTCCTTCTCCCCACAACGACGCAACCTTTATTATCTTTCATTCATTCATCTATTTACCGTGCTTCGGAACGATTAACGCAAAAAAAAAAAACGTGGATTCGTTTTTTTTGGTTTGTTTGTTTTGTTTTGTTTTGTTTTGTTTTGTTTTGCAGCTTTTGGCGAGGCGCCTGGTGGCGGGTCTGACGGCGCAGCTCAAGCCCACATCATCTCGAACAAGTCGTGGGCCGTGTTGCCGTCGCGCCGGGTTTAACCATTTATCTGGAATTTGCGGATGTCGTGACGGGGACAGGATATCGCGTGGGTGAGGGGAGGGGGGGGCGTGACGAGGGACTGCCCCGGCTTCAGATGGAGATGGCTTCTTTGGACTTTTTCGCGGAGGTCTATCATAGATGGAAGCCCAGAGGGATGTCGACGTGGGTTCGCGGGTTGCAGGATTCAGCTCCAACGGGCTGCGCGGTAGCAAGCGCCAGGGCCTCAACTAATGATAATCAACACCTATCGCGTTAATGAATTGATCAAAGAGCTGACTGACGAGCGATGAGCGATGTGATGATGGTGGCCCGAAAGTCAGAGGGGCAAGTGTGACAGTCGAGCGGGCCTGTTTGGATCAGCGTCGGGCTGATGCTAATCTCATGGGAGACCGCGCGGCAGCCGCTACCGACCAAGTAGTACCAGCGCGTTATCTATAGATGCGAACCTTGCTAAGGCGTTTTACGGTCCCATGTGCTTTGGTGTCGTATACTGATCGTCGTAACCCGCGCTCTCTCGTGCCTTGGGAGCTCTCTCCTCAACTCTATTGGGTTCCTGGATGAAGAGATTCGGATGACATGTACAATCACAACCCCCCCTTTGACGTCGGTATAGTCACGCTTTGCGATATCCGGTCTCAGCTCCCTGGGCCTTCCCGCTCCCGCGTCCTCGACGCTGATCGCTTATGGACACTCCACTACCCTCGGTGCCCCGGGGCCGGTACGATAAGCGACGAGCGGCGACGCGCCCGGGGGGCGTGGGGTGGGTTGCAGTAAGTAAGTAATAAATAGCTTACGGCCCATTCAGATTCTCCCGGTTTTTTCGTGAAAAGCGCTCAGCGTTCGCTGTCCTATATATGTGATCTCCCGCGATCGTTGACATGTATCAGCTGGAAAGACCAGATAGAAGAGACCCGCTTTCTGTGATTATGATCATTATGATCATTGCTTTTTTTTCGTCGTTCCCGGTTCGCGATTCGGATCAGCGTTTTCGTGGGGTAGGGACATCTCTGGAGACTAACACGATTTTTGACTGCATCAGTTCGGATCCTTCCTCCAACCCACTCTGAACTTTGTTGTTCGCGTGATGATCTATCATGCCAGTGCTGCTTGCTGCTGCGCGTTCGCGCACCACCCACCACGCATCTGTGAAATCATACTTACTACATCCGAACTGTGGTGAGGAAGGGTATCCACCCGACGTTCGCGATGCGGACGTCAACGTTCGGGTGTGTGTGACGCGCAACGTGATGGCCCATCATCGGTTCACGCAGAGTTATTATAAGTATAAGTAACCCAGTTCGGATGGCCAGCGACGAGACGAGTGACGAGCTGAGCTGATGCGCGTGCAAATCCCACCCGCGGGTTTTGCAGGCCCGTCGTGCGTGACGGCGGCGCGAGAGGGGGACAGATGCGACGGCGGGGAAGGGGGTCGCGACGAAGACGGGAATAATCAATGATCGACGCCGTTCGGGGGACGGCGTGCACAGCGTTTGGCAACCCGGGAGAAAGCGATATAAATAGAGTTTCTGGCATAGACGCCGAGATAGACGCCCGCGCCACAACGTGCGGCACCCACCCTCTGCCGAGATTTCCGAGTCACCGGACTTTGCGAGCTGCCCTGAGCCCCTGGACGCGGGTGGGCCGTGTGGTTTCCCCATCTTCTCGCTTGCCGCTCTCAGCTTGGTCTTTCGCGCCCTCGGACGGTACCATTCAAAGATGAGCAACACCCCGGTCGCATCCCCCGTGCCGACGCCGTCGGTGCCCCACGGCGTGGGCCACGTCCCGTCGCACTCCGTCGCGCCGTCGCGATCCGCGACGACCGCGCCCGGAGCGAACAGCAGCGCCGCCATCGGATCCTACGGCGTACGTCTCTACGCTCGATTGCCCTTTCACATCAGGCCCGCTCACGATTTATTGCAACTTCGCGTTCGGCTTGATCTGTCGTTTCAAAACGACTGTGGATCCGCTTCTCATGGGGGGTTCGTGGGGCTTTCGTTCCGACGCTATTCAGGTCAAATCGGGCCTGGCGCAGATGCTGAAAGGCGGTGTGATCATGGACGTGACGACTCCGGAGCAGGTGCGTTTGTTCCCCGCGATACCCCCGATCTCTGTCCCCGTTATACCCTTCCTCTGCCTTTGCGGCGCGCGGGGACACGGACGAAAAGGGGTTGAAAAAAAGAAAGCAGGAGCGCTGATGTTGATATTTTCTTGCTATCTCTCCCTACGTGCGTGACAACAGGCGCGCATAGCAGAAGAAGCGGGCGCGTGTGCCGTCATGGCGCTCGAGCGCGTCCCGGCGGACATCCGCGCTGAAGGTGGCGTCGCGCGTATGGTAAGCAAGCACCTCCTCCGACCCACCCACGCGGGAGGTTTCCCCCCCCCCCCTCCATACTGACCGGGAAGGCATTGTGTTGCAGAGCGACCCGGCTATGATCAAGAAGATCGTCGAGGCGGTGACGATCCCCGTCATGGCTAAGGTCCGGATCGGGCACATCGTCGAGGCACAGGCAAGCAGCGCTTCCGTGCTCCCGTTTTCTGCGTCGTCGAACGCGTCTCTCTGTCTATAGATCTTGCAAGCCATCGGCGTAGACTACATCGACGAGTCGGAGGTGCTCACGCCCGCGGATGACCAGGTCCGTGCTACGCTTCTCTCTTTTCTCCTTCCGTGCCCCCCCACATCTTCTGACCCACGGTCTCGCCATTCACAGCACCACATCAACAAGCAGGCGTTCAAGGTGCCGTTCGTGTGTGGTTGCCGCAACCTGGGCGAGGCGCTGCGCCGCATCTCGGAGGGCGCCACCATGATCCGCACCAAGGGCGAGGCCGGCACGGGCAACGTCGTCGAGGCCGTGCGCCACCAGCGCGCGGTCAGCGCCGACATCCGTCGCGCGGCGAGCATGAACGAAGAAGAGCTGTACGCGTTCGCGAAGGACCTCCAGGCGCCGTTCCACCTCCTCAAGGAGACCGCCCGGCTGAAGCGCCTCCCCGTCGTCAACTTCGCGGCGGGCGGTATCGCGACCCCAGGTGAGCGTTCATCAGGATCTCGTGATCAACGTTAAAAGAGCATGGTCGGGGCTGCGGACGGGATGGCTGATCGACCCACCCTATACAGCCGACGCTGCTCTCATGATGCAACTGGGATGTGATGGAGGTACGGATATATCGTCCTCTTCTTTCCCTGGCGCGTTATCTTACGGCTCACCCACTCGCGCTCCAGTGTTCGTGGGCTCTGGCATATTCCACGTCAGTACAATATGTATCCAACACCGCCTTTGGTCTATTGCTGATGAACCCTCTCGCAGTCCGGAGATCCCGCGAAGCGCGCCCGCGCGATCGTCCAAGCCGTGAGTGCTCTCATGTTTTCAACACGCAGTTCACCCTGATGCGAATCGCGTATTCTTAGGTGACGCACTACAATAACCCGAAGCTGCTCGCGGAGGTAAGTGTGGATCGATAAGGTTTCTAGTCTTCCTATCATACATTAGCCCTGACCGGGGTCATGCCGCGTTACAGGTTTCGGAGGATCTGGGTCCCGCAATGGTCGGTCTGACGATGTGAGTGTCACGGACGGCTGGCGGCGACCTCCGCATAGCGGTACTGATGTACCCTTGCTTAGTTCCGACGATATCAAGGGCGGAAAGATGGCTGGCCGCGGCTGGTAAAAGCAGTTCGGCTCGTGCGTTTCGAGCGTTTCGAGCGTCGCCGCGTTACTTCATGCTCCGTATACGGCTCGAGGGCGCTATACCGGTGCATGATTCGTTCCGACCGGCGGGCATCGTTCATTCATCGCGAGGCTGGTCTGCAGATACATAGACAGAAGCAAAATCATAAATGTTGTATTTTTGGCGGGAATTTCGGCGAGACGGTGACGTCATTACTCGGTACACCCGCGCTTGAGCTTGGACGAACGCTACCATTACCCTCCGTTATTCACCCCTTGCACGCGACCAACTCTATCTATCATGGCGGCTCTTTTCCAGAAGACCACATCCAGTGCGAAAGCGAGAGGTCGCACCGCAGACGACGACCTGACCGATTTCATATCTGTAACTTGCCCGCACTTCCGCCCCGAATTGAGAACTCAGGAGCTGAGAAAACTTCCCATTCAGCGCGACCCGAACGCGAAATACACATTCGACAGCGAGCGCGGTGCTCCCGAGTCCGAGATATGCCGCAACGTCGATGGGAAGGACGATTGCATAAAGGTGAGCACTCCACTCCCATGACCCGGCGACCATCGCGCGCATAGCTTGACCGGTAACCCTGACCAACCGTCACTGCCGTGTTAGATCCGAATGTACTCCACGCAACTCTTCGAAGCCATGCAGGTCCGTACTATATCAGCTGCCATGGCTTCCTCGTTCCCGTATGCTCATACGCTGCTGCGCTTCTAGGCGAGAGGTTTCTACTGTGCGCTTCCCATGGATCCTGGAAGGACGCATATGGAGTGCCGCAAGAAGCCCAAGGCGTGAGGGCACCATAGGCGCCGATTACCTTCCCATCGCGATATTCATACATGTACTTCATATCCGAGGATACGGCGCATCTTTAGGAGAGACGACCGGACGCTCACCCACTGTATTATAGCGTAAATCACAGGCTGCATGTTCTTCGCGCGGGAAGGGGAGATGAGCCGGCGATGCAAACGAGTCGTTCATGAGAGGTCGGGTCTCCGACCGGAAGTTCCTTCGTCATCGGCATCGGAGATGCTGCTGTCCCGCGAGAGGGCGGTTGCGTGCTCTGCGCTTCATTGGGGGGTGCGTGTCGCAGCTTCAGGCTGAAGAATGACCGCGACGAAGCGTCCGTTGGCGTTTCAGCCTGCCGTTTGGCGGCCGGAAATGGATCTTCGGCATGTCGTGCGACACCCTCGACCCTTCATGCTACGATTTCACTCGTATAAACTGCGATGGCGAAGCGCGTCTGGACTCGGTGTTGGTCAGTCGGCCATCATTGGTCATATGAACGGTTTACCTTGTGGTGCATCCGCTGCCATTCACCTGGTTGCGTTGCTCTCTAGCCATTTCCGCACGTCCTTCTTGGTCAGCATGCCCACTACCCTGCGCCTATCTTCCGGAGTTCGCTCCCTGTACAACGACATCACGTATCCGCACACGGTCCACACGTCCTCCCATTCCGCGTCGAACAGCTCCCACCAGCACGTCGGAGGGTCAGAGGGTAGGCTGATACCCATGTTCCGCGTTGCGAGGAGTATCGCGGCGCTTACGATGGTAGGGATGCTGTATAAGGCGTAGACAGGAGTCTGAAGGCTGGGATACGGATGAGCTTGGCCCCATGCGCGAGGAAGGACGAGGCGTACGCATCGTTGAGATAGCCCCACGCCATCGTCATCGCGTCGTCCTTTGTTGCCAGCCCCAACACTTGCATGTAGTTTACCAGGGTCCCGTACGGCAGCACGACGTGCACGTTGAACCCCAGACGCTTCAATAGCTGCATCTCCGACACGACGATCGCGTCCTTGAGATCGTAGAAAGTGTTCCCAAAGTACGACATGGGCGCGTATTTGAACTCTTGCAGGGTGGATTTGGAGGCGTGCAGGATGCGCTGGTGCAGCAGGTCGTACACGTTGACAAGGTCGCGGATGCGAAGCGGACACTCTTCCAGCTTCGAGGCGAGATACAGAGCGCCCATGCCTACGTCCTACGTATAGCCGCCTGTGAGCAGCAGCTCGATAGGACTAGGACGACAAGACCACTCACCCCGATCCCAAAGTGCTTCATGGACGACACGTACCAGAATCTCTGGAAGAGGATCTGTGCTGTAGCAACGGCCACTTGTTTCCTATCTCAAAATACGGTGGTTGAGGTCGCGAGCCGCGTCCTATGTGACGAGCATGGAGCTTACTGCCTCAGGAGGACCCCGGCCTCGTGTATGAGCTTGCACCCGTACGCGCGCAGATCGTCTTCAAAGTCCGCGGGAATCCCATCTTCGCGAGATGGTGTTTTCAATATCTGTTCATACGAAGCCAGCGGGACGAGAGTAGTAGCCATGATTCCGGGGCAAAGATGGCGGTAGGCAACAAACCTCTCGGAAGAGGATGGTGCGGCACGTGACCGAAACCTTGAGGCCTTGGTCCGGTGTGGCTCTTCTCTGGGTATCCTCTCAGCTTGGCTGAGCCCTGCCAATCGAACCAGATTTCGAACGTCCCCTTCGGCCCCTTGCAGTGGTGTAACGGACGTTACTGCCAACATAGATTGTGCAGCTGGACCGAAGAATATGTACGACAGGCAGAGAGGCTATCACGACGACAGACGGCGCTATGACGCCGGACCACCTCCGCGGTCGTACCCTCCCGCGCGCCCTCACCCTGCGCCTGATCCGTACTACCCACCGCGGGATACTCGCGAGGACTACAGAGACTATCCTCGAGGAAGGGGACCTCCTCCACCCGGGCCGCCAAGGGATCCGTATCCGGCAGCGCCAGCAGCGTATGCCAGGGACGAGCGCTATTCAGAATACCCGAGGGACGCGTACTATGACCGAGAGAGAGATAGAGCGAGGGCATGGGAAGACTATTATGCGCAGACGGGGGCGGACTCTGAGCCGATGAGGGGGGCGTATGCGGAGGAGCGGAGGAGAGGCGGACGGTACGAGGATTTCAGGGACAGGGATTACCGCGACAATCGACGACCTCAACACCCTGCTTCTGGCGATGACAGAGGATGGAACAGGAGGCCGTCCCACTCACCTCCAGACCGACGTAGAGGTGGTGCGTATCTTCATTCCGTGTCTTCTTCGCGAGAGCGCAGCGCTAAAAGAAACAAATCAGGTCGACGGAGCCCGTTTAAGGAAAGCAGGTTCCGACGTCGGTCACCTTCGCCGCCTAGCCCAGCCCCCAGGCGGCTTTCCCCTCCACCAGCTGACATCCGGCGCTCTCGCGACCGATCGCCATCTCAGTCACTGGCACCCCCGCCTAAACGGCCGAAACTTGACGATGCAGCATCCCAGGGTCCGGTACTGTCGGGCAGCTCGCGCCATCTGAATGATCCTCCGATGAACCCCTTGGAAGATGCAGCCGCTCAGGTGCCTGCGATCGCTCCAACGACGCCTGATAGGAAACAGGAATCGCCGTCTCTCATCTTATCACCACGCCTCCGACGCCTATCCCGAGATACGGACACCAACGCCGATGCCGCGATCCCTGAGCCGAAGCAAGAGGATGCCAAACCATCTATTCTTCCTGAAGGGTCCTTCGCCAGAGACAAGGGCAAGGGCAAGGAGATCCTTCCTGACACCAAGGTCGTCGATGTGAAATCGGAAGAACTTCATGCTCAGTTCCAAACCACTTCTAGATCAGTTGTACCGTTACCGAATCCATCCGCAATGCAGCCACCCAAAGGCCCACGTCACGGAATCCTGCCATCTACGTCGACGGGTGCTCAAAGCGCCGCCCCTTCGTCTGCCATGGATGCGTTACCAACGGGACCGAGAACCTCCACCACCCAATCATTCTCGTCCACGGCACAGCCGGCCACCCCTACGGGCTGGGATCAGCATCCTCCCGCGGGGTCGGACTCGCTCGCACCTTCTCCCGCCAGCACCAATCCTTGGGGTGCGAGTAATAACGGCTCCTGGGGAAGACCCTTGCATCCGGTCTACAAAGTCCCTTACCCTGTCATACCGAAATTCGTGCCCTCGCCCACGCCGGAGGAGGTCGCCGAGCAAGAAGCGAAGGCGAAAGGAAAGGGCAATGCGCAGGGAAAGGGCGGCAACGCGCAAGGCAAGAGCGCCGACGGCAGCCAGGAGACCAAGCCCTCCGAAACCCACGAAGAACGGCGGGCGAAGTTGCGCGAGAAGAACACGTCGGATTATCTGTCTATCTACAAGGCGACACAGCGCGCACTCCACGAGATGGATCTTGCGCGCGTGGACATGAGGATGGCGGAGCAGCGAAGGATGGTCGCGGACGCGCAGTTGGAGCTGGCGAAGGCCGGGACGTTAGGGATCGAGTATCCGGGGGTCAGCGCATTACCGACAGCGGCAGATTGAAGAAATTTCTTAGTCGTTGTATGCTATTGGACCCAATGTCATTCCTTGCTCGAGGCTCGTGCAAAAGTAGCAAAGGGGTGAAACGAACTCGCGAAGGCCGAAATGCACCCGAAGTGGGGTGGTGGCGGTGTAGCGTTCGCTTGCATCCTTTGCTCCTCCGGAGAGAGTCCGGCTCGAGTTATCTGTGACCTCCGCTTCACTACACCGTCAAGATGCTCGACCACTGCTCAATATTTCACAAGGGTAAGCCGCTTTGCGCATAACACCTCCTCGCCTTATTGACATATGCTTTTGTGCAGGCGGTATCGTCCTCTGGTCCAAATCATTCACGCCCACCGCTGCGCAGGTCGCGTCATCGTCAGCGTCTCCGGTCAACTCGCTCATTCGGGAAGCTCTCATCGAAGGCAGAGCCGCGGAAGCGAGCTACGACAAAGATGGCTACGCTCTCAAGTGGTCGTTCATGAACGATTTGGAGCTCATCTTCGTTGTATGCACGCATCGCACGATTATTCGTCTGACCACGACTCTAACCTTGGACGTAGGTTGCATATCAACGCATTCTTCAACTTACGTATGTGGATGAGCTGCTCGCGGTTATGAAGACACTCTTCATCAAGATGTTCGAGCCGTTCCTCACCACATTCGTCGCTTCTTTACATGCCACGAGTTCTGGGCAACTTGCCTCCGGTACCTTGGGCGTCACACCCGCGTCTTGGAGCTTTGCAAAGGCTTTTGAGGGCTGGGATGCGATGTTTGACAAGGTGCTGAGGGGACTCGAGGATAAGGCTGCCCAGGTACGCGTTGCTCTAATCCTTGTCCACCTGTTATCAAGATATCAAACGTCGGACAGGAACGCAAGTCGCGTATCCGACCGATGACTCGCGTTGTCGCGAATCCAAGCCCTCCCTCTGACGACCAGAGCACAAGTGCGGAATCCTCGTTCGCTTCCCAAGAAAAGGGTTCTTATTGGTTTCCACAGTACCTTCGAACACGGACTCGACTTCTGTGGACGAGCAAGCGATTGCTAGGAATGTCCAAGCATTGAAGAACCGCCTGCGCGGCCGTGGTGGCGGAGGAAGGCGAGGGTCCGGACGAGGGCCTATCGCCCGCACAGAGTCCGGAAGTGGCAGGGACAGCGTACCAAATTCAGAGTACGTGCAAGACGCTCGTCTCGCCACACAATACTGTGGATATATGCTAATGTCAATGCAGTTCGGAGATGACCCCGTCCAAACGCAAGCCAAAAGCCAAAGAGCAGCGCAGGTGGGGTGACTCCGCACCCACCGAATCGGACATGGCCACCCTCGACTTCAGCGTAGACAAACAGAGTGACGCCGCGGGACCGTCGTCTCTCGATCTGCAGGCGCTCGTCGACCAGACGTCCCTCGGCACGCGCACTACTGACGGACTCTATGAAGTCAAGGACTGGGAGTTTATGGAGAAGGACGGCTCCGGGTCCGACTCGGACTTCGTCTCTGCTGCGCTGAAGTCGAGCATAGACAAAGAGCGGGAGGAGAAGGGTGGGGGTATGGGGCTGTTCGGGTCGATGTTTGCGCGTTTGACAGGGAGCAAGGTGTTGACGGAGGAGGACCTGAAGCCGGTATTGGAAGCGATGAAGCAGCACTTGATGAAGAAGAACGTGGCGAAGGAAATTGCGGACAAGGTATGCGAGGGCGTTGCGGAGGGCTTGATTGGAAAGAAGATCGGTGGCTTCCAGAGTACGCCGCGATCCTCTCTACCATGACCTTGCATTCGACTGATCCGTGTGTTTCAGCCACGAACGCGGCTTTCCGGCAAGCTCTCTCCAACTCGCTCACCCGTATTCTTACGCCCAAGACCTCTACCGACCTATTACTCTCCATCCGCACCAAGCTGTCGTCGCCGTTGCCGTCAACTCAGCACAGACTGCCCTACAGCATCACGTTCGTGGGCGTGAACGGTGTCGGCAAGAGCACGAACCTGAGCAAAGTCTGCTTCTGGTTGATCCAGAACGGGTTCCGGGTGCTGATCGCAGCTTGCGATACATTCCGGTACGTGTATATCACTAGGATCAAGGTTCATACCAACTCATCGAAACGGTGCAGGAGCGGCGCTGTCGAACAACTCCGTGTGCATGTCCGCAATTTGGGTATGCTCGGCGTGAACGGCAATGGCCCGACAGGTAGCAAAGGCGGTGTGGAACTCTTCGAAAGAGGATACGGGAAAGACGCCGCGGGGATCGCGAAAGAGGCGATCACATACGGTATGACCATGAGCCCGGCGACGATATGTTTCTCACTGCTCATAGCTAAGGACAACGACTTCGATGTCGTACTCATCGACACCGCCGGCCGTATGCAGGACAACGAAGTAAGTGTCGGACTTCTCTTGACCAGGCTCAGCTTGGTCTGACGAACGTTCGCCCGACAGCCCCTCATGCGTGCGCTGGCCAAACTGGTTGCCGTGAACAACCCGGATAAAATCCTTTTCGTCGGCGAGGCCCTTGTCGGTAATGAAGCAGTCGATCAGTTGCAGAAGTTCGACCGCGCCTTGCGTGATTTCTCCTCTGCGTCCGGTGGTGCCGGGAAAGGACGCGGCATCGACGGCATGATCGTGACGAAATGGGATACCGTTGACGATAAGGTGCGCTTTGATCCACAGTTGTGCGGTACCCATCGTGAACAAACCAGTAACCGGCCGTTCTTGTTAGGTTGGGGCGGCGCTGTCGATGACTTATGTGACGGGACAGCCCATCGTGTTTGTCGGCACTGGCCAGGTAAGACATCACATCCAGGTCTCCACGTTGCTGGCTAACGATGCTTCCCCTTGTGCAGACCTATACTGACTTGAAGCAGCTAAGAGTTGCCAATGTCGTACAAGCCATTATCAACGACTAGAGGGTTGCTATGCGAGACCCAGTGCCTAATACGTGGTTGAGGGTAGGAATTGTTCTTGCTCATGTAGTCATACCGTAATTCTATTGAATGGTAAATGGGCTGTTGAATTTGACGTAACAGGGCTGTGAGTAGGCGCCGGCGAGGAATACCCGTGTTCATGCTTGAATACGTGCTTTGACCACGCCAGAACTGGTCTGACGGGACTTCCCCACCCTTCCTCACATAGGTGTCGAGCCCTGGCATTCGGCGAAACAACTGTCGGTTGACGGCGTATGCTCACCTTGATGACATCAAATTGGGTTTAGAGGCTGAATTGGCTGAAGGTACGATCGCGTCACTTCATTGTGGGGCCTGAACGTTAACGTTGTTGAATGTTCACTTAATATTCAAGGGCTTTGTCAGTGTTCGATATCTAATCCTTAAGCCGACATAGTCCGTTTATTACGAAACGTCGTCGCCATGATCGGATTCCATCATAGTACTTCCCGAGACGCCGAGCCTAGACAACCGCCCACGGATGGCTGACAAGCCGCTGGACGGAGACGAGCGCCTGGTAGCGCACGTTTGGATCTGGATGCGTCATGAGCTCCATCACGCGCGTTTTCGCTCCTAGATCTGTTAGGATCCTAAAGCGTGCAAAAAATCGGTCGGTCGTGAACATAAGGGAAGATCTGGAATTGCAACGTACTTCTTTCCTTGCGGGTAGTGTTTGACGTATTGGCCCACATCGTGCGCGGCGACGGCGAGCACGACGGGGTCTTCGGATTCTCGCAGTAGCTTGACGAGGATCCTAGGTGCGATAGATGTCCGTCAAGGATAATGGAACCAGCACAAGCGTGACATATACTAACTTGAGCTGTGCGTAATCCGAATCGTTCAGCTTCGTCGCGTTCTCCTTCCAGAAGTCATCGGATTCATGCACGGGTGTCCAAGAGAGGTGTCCCGATGTCAACTCCGAGCTGTACTCGTCGTACGTCCTACAAATGTACACATCAAACCCGCATCAGTTAGCCGTGACTTGGTGCCAGAACGATCACTTGGACACGCACGTTAAACTCTGGAATCGAGCATTCAGCTCGTCGCGCAAGAACGCAACGTCCTCCGCGATATCTTCGTCAGTCCATTTGCGCGTGCTGAGGTTCTTGGCGAAGGGCAGAAGTTGCGCGACGAGCATCGCGGGCAGGTTGGCGGACGGTGCTTTGGTCACTAGGTTCTACGAAATAAGAATATCAGATCAACGCTCTGATATCACAATGGAAGGCAAAATGTACCCGGAACGTGGCGACGACAACTCGGATGACCTTTTCCTTCACCGCATTCTGCGCGACGTCGGTTAGTAGCGGGATCACGTCGTATTTCCTGTTCGAAATGCTCAGCGGTTGAAGCTGGGTCAGAGCGAGGCGGTATCGTACTTGTTCAGCTGCTCGGCGACCTCTTGATCGAACGTCAACAGCCAGAAGCAGAACACGACTTGGTAGCTCATTTGCGGCCCGGGTTTGTGGCCAAGGATATCTTTCAATCTGAGCGGAACAACGTACGCGTTAGTCAGGGGGTACCAGGGAGCAGAGGAAGTACGTTCACGTACCCAGCGATAACACCCGGAATGCGCCATACAGCTTTCCGTGTCTCAGGGCGGGGAAGGAGTGCCTCTAGGCACTGAACGGCGACGTCGCGTTTATTCGGCGTGGGGCCCTGGACGAAGGCGGCGAGGGTGACGAGGAAGGGCTGGATCACTTGTTGAGGAAGTGGTGTCGAGTACGAGCTATTCATTGCGCTTGTCAATTGGGAAAAGGCGGAGAAATAGTGAAGTGAAGGGAACTCGCCTCAGAAGGATGGTAAGGATTTGGGTCGATTTGAGCTGCACGAAATCGTCTTGCGTTTCCAATGCTCTAGGAGTCGTTGAGCACGCGTATAGTCAAGTCCCAGGATGACCACACGCACTTGAGCAGAGGACCGTAAGGAAGCTCGGGATCCGTCTCCGATGCCCTGGTGAACAACGCTATTCGCTCCTCGTGGTCTGTGCCAGCAGCACGTCAACTCCTTCCCGTTCTTTACCAGAAGACAGCTCTCACTCACCTATCAAAGCGTCGCCAATAAGAACCAGTATGCATTGCATAGTATCGACCCGCTGCAACTTCTTCAACAAGCCGAGGTATAGCAGCGTGTATGCCTGCCCTTCAGACAGCAGCAGCGACTCGATTTTCGCCTTCGACTGCTTGTCCACCTTCTTGATGCGCGCCAGCTCCTCAGAGGTTATCAATCCCGCGCGTTGGTAGCCCTATATGCGCCCAGGGAATTTAACAATGACCAGTGAATCCATTCATTTCGTAGTATCAGATCCGCAGTTCGTACGCACCTCCCATGGCACGAGCTTGGTCTTGATTTTCGCGGACTGCTCATCCAGGTAGTTGTTAAGTACCAGCGAGTTTGACATCGTCGCCGGTGGTGATATCGTATAGCGAACCCTCAGTCCGACCCAAGCAATGACCTGTTCAGCGTATGACGCTGGAGCAAGCGCCGTTTCGGGAGTGATGCGTGGCTGTGTATCCAAACGCGGGGACTGCGCCGCGCGGCGAAGTTGCAGGTCGGCCAGCTTGCTCTGCCTCTGCCTGCTGCCGGACCAGCGTCTCTCGAATCGCTTACGACAACGCCCGGGACATCGTCCGTCTGATAACAATAACTCTTCCTACCTTGCAGCATATATTTGCCATCTGCTGCAGCCTCAAACGACTCCGCTTCTCGTGTAACTGAGTTGACGAACGAGACAACAACATGGCTACCAAAGGCTGGTTCAACCTCGAGGCCGTTGGTGGCACTATCCCAGAAACACAGTTCTTTGAGGGCGACTCCGCTTTCTCGTTTCTTGGCCTGACTAGGACACAGCGTCTGTACGGATTCGTAGGATGGTGAGCATCAATATATTCATCTCCGAGTTGCGTTCGGCTAGGCACTTCCAATTCCTCGTACATCTGGCTTGGTGGAACGGGATGTTTATCTTTCTACCTAGTCTTGCTATTGGATTTGTCTTGTCGATCCTCGGCGCTATCCTATTGTTCATCGGTGCTTTGGGCAGCTTTGCAGGTAAGCCACGCTTGCTTGACTTCCATGCAACTACTTGAAACCAGTACTCTAGCGCTTTATGTACTGGGAACCATTATCTCTTTGATTGGAACCGGCTTCCTCATCGGGGTATGTCATCCCAACTTGTGCCTCGGGAACGAATCCTACATTCACACCGTTCAATATAGTTCTTCAAGCAACTCAAGCTGGTCGGTGCCTCCAACTGCATCTTGCTTGTCGTCAGCGCTCACGCGAACCTTGTAGATGTTCAAGCCCGTTCGGGTAGCAGCCACCATCATCTTCCTCGCCTCGATCGTGCTCGTACTTGTCGGCGCGTTCGTCATCGGCTCTGACATCCTCTGCCTCAGTACGCATACCTCTCCAGCCTCAAACGCGCTTTGCTGACTTGATGCGCCTGAACAGTCTTCGTAATCATTGAATATCTCGCATACACCTGGTACACGTTGTCGTACATCCCGTACGCACGAACATCTATCCTCAAGGTGATCGGTATGGCGTAGACCAACCAGTCGCACGCGGTTCTAGTAAAAGACGGGAAAGACGGGTGTCTCGAAAGAGAACTGTATCATGCATACTTGTTCCACTAATAATGTGTCGTGTCGGGGAATACGTGCCTATCACACCCTCGCCCGTTGGCAAGAGAAAGCGAGACATCTTCTCGCTCCGTCTCTCTATCACGCTCGTCATGATCTGCCCCTCCCGCAACTTCTTCCGAAACCAAGTCGTCTACCGCTCTTGAGTCGTGGTTTTGATCCTAGTTAACCCTCATTGGGGTGGGGGGGGGGTTATACTCGCTGTTATCCCATGTCGATACCTCTACGAGCTCGGGGCGGTCTGCAACCTGTTGGAGCCTCCGCACGAACCTGTCGCTCAACTCATTGGCTCCTTCGATTATAAGCTGTAGCCCGGACCTCCGAGCCAGCAGTTTCGGCAAGCATCGGTGGAACTCGCTGATTGGGGCTAGCATCTCAAGATCCATATAGATACGTCGCAGCAATGGCAGGAGATCCGGCGGACGCGCTAAGGTAGCGTTACTTCCGTCCTCGATGGCAGCGGCGCTCGTCATTGACTCCAATAGCAACCGAACGGCAATTTCGGCAGCTCCTGGGGCTTCGCACTGGACTTCGGATGCCCCAGAGCACCGGCTCAAGATATGGGCTATGGTAGTCGTCACTTGATCGAACTCTCCGTCGGTGTCCACCTCCGCGCGTAGGTTCACGATATCAACGTCGCCGAGTCGTAACTTGTTGATAATAGGGAGGAGCAGGCTTGAGTCGGGGAGAGTGAGGGTTAGGTCCAATAACGTTGACGTCTCCTGGCCTACCCAGAACACGATTTGGTCCATATCCCACAGACCGTAACACAAGGTTCGCGGAGAAGGACCATCGCCGTTGCAGGTGCAATGACCCTCGAGGAATTTGACCAATGAAGCAGAGTAATCCACCTCCAAGGCTGAATGGAACAGCTCAAGGAACACTATGGCGCAGGAAGGTATCCTGATACGCTCGAGCAGGACGCATGCGTACGGAACTGGGGCACCCAAGAACAGTTTGGTTAAGTTTCGCAAGACTATCACGTCTGAACATGCGTCCATGGGTATTAAAGCCTCGCCAGAGGATGTTTCTAAGCAGAGTTCCTGTAACAAAGGCATCGTGCGCAGGGCTGCTACCAGCTGCCCCGCAGTGGGCCACGAATCTGCAGGCAAATCCACCAGTTGAAGGGACGTCAAGCCCCGGAACAGTGAGGGACAGCACATCATCACCCAGTCAAAGGATGTTCTTGCAAGATCGAGGCTGCGAAGGTGCGGGGCGTAGCTACCCAGAAAATTGTGTGGTAAGCGCCCAGAGGTCGGACCAATATCTGCATGTAGCTTGCACGACACGAGTACAGGGGCGCGACCGGACAGAATCGCCTGATATTGCGTGACATCGGCCTTCAGATAGTCCAGTGTTTGGGCGCGACCTAGGTGTGAGAGTGCCAGTACTTCGGCTTCGTCGGAAACTGTGGTGGCTAGGGCTGAGCGTGAGTCCCTGAAGTTTTCTATCATTAGCGGGACGCCTCTTGATCTTGATAGAAACACCTCTGTCAACTGCACTGATGAACGCGGAACATTTGACCAGAGGCCAGGCAAACCGAGTGCAACCCTTCGCCAGTGTTGACACACATGACTGAAGACATGGCTGTACGGGTACACGACGGTGTGCACCGGATATTTTCTCAGCTCCACGTCGTTCTTGCTTGTAGAGACGCAGTCGCGGAAGATGAGCGAGAGGATCTCGTTAGGGAGCAGGGAGGCAGGGGCTAGTTGATTGCGCTGTTCGAAGAGAGACCTCAGTCGTCCACATAAAGTTCCGATCGTATGCCAGTGATCGTCAAGATGCTGTATTCCGACTTCATCTTCTACCGCCAAGCAAGGTATAGCATCTTCGAGCTCGAGGATCGCATTCGAGTGTGGCCACGGTGGATACTGGAATTCGACTGACTGTAGACGATCCAGGACTCTATCGATCTGTAGATACATGTCGCGAATCTTCCTGTCGATCTGCCGGCGTTGTTCGTCGCGAGCAGCCCAGCGCGAGCCCATCGAGCCATATCTATCGACAGGAATCGGCCAATCTGCCTCACTGAAGGACGACAAAGTCAAGGTGTCAGAATAATCATGGCCTGTTGCGCGGACGTCTGTTGCTCACAGATTCAGAGGTTCTAGTGGTTCCATATTATCCCGCGGTTTGGCTGCTCCAAGACCTCGGTCTAGAGCAAACCGGTTTCATACGGGATGCGCGAGGATGGGTGAAGAGACGCAACTCGGTCGACCCCTCATGACGCTTATAAGTCTTTCTTTGTTCTCCGGCGTATGCCGCTAGGTCGGAGTTCGGACCGATTGTTGAAGACGCATTCGAAGTTCTGACTGGAAGTCATTCGCCCTTGTGTCCAGTATGGCTTTGCTGCTGACGTTGTTCTCTAAGTGGTGTTCGAGTAGTCGACGATTTGCACCATCGATACCGCGGCGTCCCAGGGCTCGTACTATAATGCTGAATGGGCCGAATCGAGAGCGTGTCAAAGCGTGGCGTCGCGTTAGAGGCAGTTGATTCGTGTAAATTGCGGGAGGGCCCGCCTCAAGCTTTTCAAGCTCATCTCCCCATCAGTCGTGTCGAAGTTGGACTCCGGCTGCGATGATAGGCAACTAAAAGTGTCGCAGCAATGGTATCATCGAGTAATTGGCCATTCTCAACAACGACGTTCCTTCGCGACATAAGACCATGGAGGGTCGAAGCAGGATACAACCCGGAACTGAACCGTTGTCACGCTCGGCCTGGGGTTCACGCCACAAGCGCGTTCGGTCACGTGTTTTACGCGATCACCCATCCGTTGACCGATCGCGCCTTCCTCCGACTCTTTTCGGTGCACGCCCTCGCCATGGTCTACCTACCGCCGCCACATCTTGCCACGGCGTCTACCAAGTCGTATGCAGAGGCGTACAACCAGATACTCGCGACCCACCGACGCTCGCCTCTCACCTCCGCCTCCTCTGTCATCGTCCTCGTTGCCCCTGACGTGGACGCGATATGCGCGGCTCGGATGCTAGCAGATCTGCTCAACCAGGATGATGTTATGCACAGATTAGTACCAGTGTCTGGTATTGCGGACCTTGAGAAACGGCGCGACGAACTCCTCACTTATAACGAGGTACCTCGTACTGTACGACGCTATGATAATATTCGTACTAAACATCGTTTGACCAGCTCCACACTCTCATACTTCTAAACATGGGCTCGATATTGGATCTTCCGTCTCCGGAGTGGTTTGGCGAATTTGACCCGAAGCTTACTGTTCATGTGATCGACTCTTCAAGGCCTCAGAACTTGTCAAGTCTGTTCGGCGCCGGGGAGAATGGGGACCGGATAGTGATCTGGGATGATGGAGAGGCCGAGAAGCTTGGGGATGAACGGAAAGCATGGGAGGCCTTGACTGTACGTGTGCATTCACGCGCACAGCGTCGCATGGGCCTGACGCGTCGACCAGTATGAGCCCGAGCCAGACTCAGACGACGACGGTTCTGACGTCGACTCTGATCTCGGAGGTGATGAATCAGAGGAATACGAGCAAGATCAAAGCGAGGAAGGCACTCCGACGCGGAAGCGCAAGTCCCCGGCGGACACATCGCGGCGAAAGCGGCAGAAATTAGACGATCCCGATAGACCAAAACGGATGACTCGAGACGAACGAGATCTGTATTCTGCGCGTTTACAGAAACACTACATGACGGGAACTTGGTTCGGGCAGAGTGCAGCGGGCACAATGTACATCCTGGCGACCGTTCTGGAACGCGTCGATAATGATCTATTATGGTGAGCCTGCACGACGCGTCAAGCGTCCGATCTAATCTCGAGTATCTTGATCAGGTTGGCGATTCTCGGGCTCACGTACCAGTACACGACATCACGCATATCAAGAGATGAATACGAAAAATATCATTCAATATATTACGACGAAGTTTTCCGACTTAATCCACCCCTACCCGCCGTCACCCTCGGAACATCACTGGCGACAAGCCCTGACGATCACTCATTACGAGCAACAGAGGAACTACGTTTTATGCTCTTTCGGCACTGGAATCTCTATGACGCTATGTATCACTCAAGCTATGTCGCCAGTAAACTCGGCATCTGGAAGGAACGAGGACGGAAACGTCTGAGTGGTTTGCTCGCCAAGATGGGGTACGAGACATTAGTACAGGCGAAGACGCGGATACTGACAACCCGGCCCTGCACGTAACAGATTCTCCATACCACAAACTCAGCAGCCATATTCCCATATGGACATGGACTTGAAGAAACAGCTAACGTCTAAACTCGAGGCCATCGCTCCGGAATATGGCATGATCGAACTTTCATATCCGTCCTTCATGCGATGTTACGGGTACCGGTCACAACCCTTGTCCGCGTCGGACTCGGTCGAGGCCATTTCAGCGCTTTTGGATGTTGCAGGGGTGCGGATGGAGGTCGAAATCGAGGGGCACCGGAACGGCGGCGAGTGGTTCGGTGGAGGCAAAGTCTGGGACGGCGCCAAGGAGGGCAAGTACCGAGACGAAGACCGAGAGAATGTCCCTCCAGGAGGTCTCAGCGCAGTGAGGCGGGAGAAGGACAAGGCTTCCGCTGGTGATGAAGCGGAGGTGGACTCGGAGAAGGCCGCGGTGGACGGCTGGATGCGTAACTTCTGGGCCGCATATGACGCCTTGACCGAGTGAGCGAATTCCTCCTTCTGTCGGCCTACCCTTCGTCTGAACGTGCGCTTCAGCGTAACCCGGCTCAGGGATGCCCTGCCGCTCGCGATGTCGCTCCATCGGGCGATCATACGGCAAGGATCGTCCATCATCGATAAGCAAGACATCCGCACGATGCGGGGGCACCGGGTGGTCGTGCTCTCTCAAGGCCCGGACCTCCACCTCTTCTCGTACCCAGGCGTGCTATCGCGGCTCGCCCTCTGGCTCGTGGAAGCGCTCCGCGAGCGCGTGCCGGCAACCACGACCTCGAACGGGCGGAAGAAGCGGAAGAGCCTGCCATTCGTAGTCGCCTGCCTGAACGAGAAGGAGCAGACGTATCTGGTGGTCGGCGTCACGGCGGCGCTCGACTTCGGCGACGTCCGGAAAAAGTGCGTTGCTTCCTTTTCATCGTGTGATGGAAGAGCCTCGGATTGAGCGAACCACCGCAGCGAATTCGGTCTGGCCTTCTTGGACGCGAAGGAGCGCTGCAACGCGCGGACGAGGCATGGTTCGTTTGACACGAGCATATTGGAAATCAATAAAGCCGACCTCAACGTGTTCTTGGAAGCCTTGTGCGAGGAAGCGGAAGGGTACTGAGAGGACGAGAACGAGCGAACGTTCAGAATCTACGCATTGCTATCCTCAACAGCTATCATGTAATTTATTCGTGAACTTGTTGTATCATTATTGGATCCCGCATGTGACCCATCGCGGGTATCGAGAAGCCAAGCGCAAATGGGTTGCAGCGATGTACTCTATTCAAAGAAGGTGAACAGGAACAACGGAAGACCCAAGCCCCTATGGCCCAGAAAGAATCAGTACATGGACGGGGGCGAGAGGCATTCGCTGTGAACGCACCCTTCACCCGAATGTCGGGAAAAGTAATCGAAATCAATGTTGACAGCCGTGGCGAGCACCAGCTATTACAAGAGCCAAGTGAATGGACAAGCCAGACGTGTATCAGAGCGGATAGTCATATGAGCGACAGAAATACATACCGCTCTCTCATCCAACGTAAGCGTCCTGTAAGCTGGGGTCACAGCCGGCTGCGCATAGGCACCAACTTCCTCCTCTGGCTGAGGTCCAAAACGGATGAAGTATTGCCCTGACGTCCCTGCGATAAGTTGTTGCACTGGAACGTTCATGATTCTAGGACGTGCCTGTGTCGGTGAAAATCTGATAGAACGTGGGTTATGACGTGCGCAAATGAAGAAGACCTTCCCCGGTCTCTGTCGGAGAAACTCACCTCGCGTCCGATTCCGCGGAATTTCCGGCTAACGCTTGCAAACTCGTTGCCACTTTCGTCAAGCAAACCGAAGTACCAGGCCCAGAACCCTCCGTCGATGCGGGCGATCTGATAGTAGAGATCAGAAGCCGGGTCTGGTTCCGGTTGCGGCTGAGTCGGAGTGGACAAAATCCGTTTCGCTGAACTTTCCCTGGGATAACCAGAATGAGTTACGTTGGTCATCGAAAAGATTCATCGAGATTCACCTGAGGAAGAGATCGTAACGCCTTCGCCATAAGTGCCAGCGTTGTTGTACCTCGCCGAATGTGTCAAGAATAGGTTCCTCGTCTTCTGTGTAAGCGTTGAAATCCTTCAATCGCTGGACATGCATCCGAGAGTTGATCCATGCAAAAGGTCGTCGAAGCTAAAGGTATATCCACAAAAGGCGATTGTTTAGTACGTACGTTATCATGGAGCCAAGGATGCTTACCCACAGGATAGGAGACCCTTCCAAGTCCATGACCAGCGCTCGGAACGGACGATGCGTCCGGAATAGTTGCCGGGAGAAAGTGGACAATATACCGCGAGGCTCTTCAGCTATATATCCCAGAGGTTCACCCTCTACGTTGGCTAAGGGGAAAATAGATAAGTTTATCTTGTGCGTCATACATATACAATACGACATACAGATTAAATATCGGTTCGCTTGCTCAAACCCCACGAATATGTTGAGCATTTCGATCTGTCTACAGGAAATGGGCATCAAGAAATGCACGACATCATCCATACGTGAGAACTCACCGAGTTACTACGAGCACATCATTGTATAAGAGCAATTTCCTAAGTCCTTCTTCGGGGTTGATGGAAGGGCGTCTCAGGGACTGCTCCCACAGGTCAGACTGTTCAATGGATGGTTTCTCTTCGATTGGAAGCTCTTCAGCCTGAGGGCGGGCGGGGAGCCGTCCAGCTTGTGGTGGAACTCGACCGGGGCTGCGCTGCCTGTAACCGCCGGGACCTTTATCCGTAGGAAATCTTGACAAGGCATACGAGCGACGCAAAACATGTGAAGATGAGAATGCAGATGTTCTTGATATAATCCTGAGAGGCTGAGCGAGTATTGTCATGGATGTCTCTGCATGAACGACCGTAGTAAGATGTCGCGCCTGACAGTGAATACTCCGAGCCCGCGCGTCGGACAGGGCAGCGATGACGCACGAAAGAGAGCGGCTAGGTCACGTGCCTAGTGTATAAGTACGACCTCGCGAGTGGGAATCCTTCCTTCTCGTTAGTCACCTCCATCGACTGAGTCAATGCCTTGTGCTCTGGAGGACCGATGTCCGCTGCTCAGTATATGTGCTACTGGTATAATACTGCTATTGATTTTGCGAGCTATCTATCTGTTCAACTTGCCATTAAAAGCCTCAGCATTCCGAACGTTTTCCGGGTCTGATGGCCCTGTGGATACACCCAGATGCAAATGAGCCATTTAGGCCAATTCACTCTCCATGTGTACGTCTTACACATTACTAATCCTACAATCGCGGTGTAGCCCACGCTGGTCCATTCACCGCGTCCCGTTTGGGACGCATGCCTCGCGCAAAGTCCGCCATCACTTCCTTCGACCTGGTTATTTCCGGCAGCAGCTCCCGAGATGTGGTGCGATGGTTCGCTGCGCCTCTTGTTGTCGGTACAGTGGACCTTCCGGGGGCTATGTGCGACCTGGTCTAAGCCCTAGACGGTCTGTCAGTCCCTGGAGCCCATCAGCTCGGTCCCGACGCGCATGTGCACCCGTGCAATGCAGGCTCTTGTTCCCAATAGTCGCCAGTAAGATGGATGCCACCGGCTCAGGGCCTTGTACTTTGGATGAATACTGGCTGGACTACTGCACCCGGGCTATCGTCATGCATCGTCATGCGTTTGCGAGATGCCACGCTATGCACGGGGCTTAGATCAGCGTCAATGCGCCTACAACAGCGTGCGTATGCAGGACGAAAACGCTTACTCGATTATACAGACCAGCCCGCACGATTAGACAGACCGACGTGCGCTTGGGGCGCGAAACATCCGCGCATCCTCCGGCGTTGGCGCGGGATCATCCGTTCTTCTCGTGGAGGTTACAATGACACCCAACGCGTGTACCGCATCCTAGCTGTCATCATGATGTTGCAGGGAGCTTCGAAGCACCCTGCGGGTGGCAAGGCTGAATGGTCGAGGCCCCTCGGCGGTACTTCCATCGCAAGATTCCGTTAACTCACGTTCCTGATCAGCTGGGAAACTCATAAAAGGCGCAAACGAGGGGCCGTACCGCAGCAGGTCAAATCTCTCGACCTCGCACGACGGCAACTGCAATGATCGCATTCGCCACCCTGCTCGTCGCCTCCACTTCCGCTACCTTCGGCCTGGCGGCCCACGCGCCAGCACGCTCTGCTCTGTCGCCGCTGCACCGTCGCGACCTCACGGAGCAGGTGCCGATCTCTTGCTTCGTCCAGCCTCCGAACGGGGCTGTATGCGATTGTCCCACCGACCTGAACGGGGACAACGGAGTCTTGATCAACGTCTTCCCGGGATATCAGTGCGCCTATGCTGGCGGCGCCTGCACCTGGGGCGACACGGTGGGCGCTCGTTCTTTTCCAAAAGGCTCCGAACACTGATACCCTTCGTTCTTCGTGACGATAGGATGGAGCACTCCAGAATATCTTCCAGACCAACTGCCCGACTGTGGCGCCGTGCCCGTCGACGGGTTGCGAATGCCCTATAGACAACAACAACGATACCGGCGTCTTAATCAACCAGTTCACCGGTTTCCAGTGTGCTTTCGCCGGCGGGGCCTGCACTTGGGATTTCGTGAGGAGCATTCTCCTACGGCTACGACACGATGGGGCGCTGATACAGCAATCTATTTCATCAGGATGGCGTGTTGCAAAACATTCATCAAACCAATTGCCCTACGACGGCAGTCAAGTGCGCTGCGCTCTCAAGAAAGTAGGCCTATGAACTCGGAACGTGCGCTGATCCCCGTAACGGAGTCGGAGGATCACGAGGAAACTTCGGATGTGCCATTACTTCCAGTGCTATACACGGTTGTTATTTCTTATCGCTGATCGGCCTTCTCCTATATCCTCATTCTCGGGATCCTTGCTATGTATAATGATGAACTTGGGGTATACATTGTGATATTGTTCTCAGTAGATAAATCGGATAATTGGCTTTTGGGCGCACGTAAAGATTAGTGAACTGAAGGTGCACATTACCCTTGTATCTAGACGGTAAACTGTCTATGTTGCAGACACGCGCATGGAAGAACCATAGAGTCACCAACGTACAGTTTGATCCAGGGGCAGATAGTTTTCATACGCCATGTCGCCCATATGACCACGGCGTCCTTCCCAAGTGGCCATGGTGCGTACTTAATCCACCTGTGTCCATCATCCGCTTGAGCTCCTACAGCTCCCCCGTCTCCGCCATCACTTGTATGAGGTTCGGGCCCAAGGACGCATGACGCTTGTGCTATTCAACGATGCGCAGGTTCGGGTAGGTGTATCTACGAGACTTATTCGCGGTCCACGATGCCCAGCCGACTCGGTGGACGACAATCGTCAAAGTAAGTTCTATACGCTATGCCCCAGCTGTGCCCACGCCGCGCTACGGAACCTAGCGAAATTACCATATGAAGTCGACGCCGTCCTATCATTCCTGCGGTTCCCATAGCTCCCCCGTCTCCGCCCTCATTTGTATGAATTTTGGGCCTAAGGATATACGAAGCCTGCTTGGTTCGATGATGTGCAGATTGGGAAACGCCTTCATCAGGTACCGGAGGATGTCATACCCTTCCACGGTCCTCATCTCCCAGCCGATTTGATAGTTGATCACCGTCAGCGGAAGGCCGAGATGAGTCTGTGCTTCGACCAGCATGACTAAACCATGGTAATCGGCCGTAAACTGGGCCCTGTAGAACACCAAAGTCTCCAGGTGCGGGAGAGCCAAGCAGTCGTCCGCGAAACGTTCTGTGATCAATGGCTTGATAAGGAAGAGACGGCGCAGGGCAGGCCACCTGGGGCATGCCGTGTGATTGAGCCAGGTACCCCCGGGAGAAGACGGTCTGAGATGCACGAAGTGATTGAAATCATCCAACGAAAACGTATGAAAGGGTGCGTCACAGGTGGCAGCCGTCTCTAAAGACGAAAGGCTTTCGAGGGCGCGAAAGAATGATGATTCCAGGTCGGATTTGCGGGATCCATTGCGTTCGAATAGCCTCTCGAGCGTACCAAATAGCTCCTCGAACGGCATACCACATATTAACGTACGCAGCGTATGCCGTGCTTTGGTAAGCAGCGAGCATAAAGCAACCATCTCTGCTCTGAGCTCCGGCAACATGGAACGTTCGAAGTCGAGGACGGAAACGGAGAGGTTTCGGAGGTGTGACGAAATGTGCCGAGACTCGGAAAGGACGGTGCATCTGCCGCCAGGGAGGGACACGCGTATTGAGGTGTAAAGCAGCGGGGTGACGAGCTGGTGCAGATAACGGGATATCGAGCACAGAGAGCACAGCGCGTGCCGCGTCTCTGAATCTGGGTACGACGAGCCATCATGTAGCTCGCGAACAATCATGGCGATCAGTTCGATGGGAAGCGTCGCTGTTGTGATAGAAGTATCGTCGGCTGCGGGGTAGACAATATCAGTAAGTTGAGAGCCGATGCTATATGTCGGATGCAATCCGTACTCGATGTCATGGCTTTCTAGCAACGTACGAGCTTGATAGACGGCGAGAAACTCGCGAAGAGAGGAGAGCGCAATGAGCAAGAATTTGAGGAAGGGGCTAAGAGAGACGATGCACAGCGCTAGGTTGCGTTCAACGGCTCGTGGTTTCGGGAGCCAAACAAAAGGCATGCATCCTTTTACGTACTGTGCATTGCCATTTTGTTCGCTGTCTGCTGTTCGCCTCTGCACGAGTCTTTGCGTGTAGTTTCATCTTTGTATATTTGTATTTTTATGATTGGCGACGCGTTCCACAGCACGTCTGTGCATGACAATGGATTGTATCCCGAAGCAATCTTGTCAAGCCAAGATCGAAACGAGGGCGAAGGCACAAAGCGAAGGCACGCACACGTTTACGCACCACGTGCGAACAGCGTGACCAGCCAAACAATGCCACACGCGTCCGGATGATGCGGATGACTCTAACATCCAGATTATCGCACTCCCCCCCCCACATCCTTAACCAGCCACCATGATTTCGCGCCCGGTCCAGCGCACGTACGGCTCACGCGCTCACCGTTCATTCCTCGCATCTTCACCGCCGCCCTCCGACTTTGCCTCGTCTTCACCGGCCGCGCCGCCCCTGAAGCGTAAACGACCTCTGCGCGACGGCTCGCTCTCCAATCTACCCGACCCTACACCCTCGCCCTCCCCGCCGAAGAAACGCAAGACTGTTGGCGTTCCCTACGTCTTGCTTCCTAGCCGAGCGTCGACTTTAAGCTCCCCGTCGCTCACTCTCGCACAAGGGCACAAACCCGTCAAAGCGGCCAAATCATCCAAGCCGAAACATGCGTCGCAAAAACAACGACCGGCAGCGCAGAAGCTCACTCAGTTGCACTTTACGCTCGACACCTCCGTCCTGCGCACCTGCCCCCTCTGCGAGCTCTCCTACACCCGCGCCGCGCCGGACGACGAGGCGCTCCACCGCTCGCACTGCGCGCGCGTCCGGCGCGGGATGGAATGGGGTCGGGATGAAGAGCGCGAAGCGCGCGCGACGGAGATTGCCAGCGGCCTCCGGCTTAAGGGCGAACAGTGGCGGCACGTCCGCGGCCGGATCGTGAGCGTGCGGTTGGACGTGGGTGGCAAGACCGGCGCGAAGCTCGGCGCGCTGCTGCAGACGATCAACCTCGCGCTATCCTCGCCGCCGCTCCCGCCAGCAGCGCTCAAGGCGTGCAAGGCTTACCTCTTTCTCGTCCCGACCCCGGCATCCTCCTCGCTGGCTAGCACGCGAAGGGAGAAGATCGCGGGCTGCGTCATCGCTCAGAGGATCGACACCGCGATGCGCGTCGCCACGGAGGCCGAGCTGCCCCCATCGCAGCGCGAGACGGACGAGAACGTGGACCCGACGCCACCATCCGGGGAAGCCCCTGCAGCGCGGCAGGACCTCGTCGCCGTCGACCTTTCGTCGGGGTTGTACGTCCACCCCGAGCCGCTCCCGACCGCGATGGGTATCCCGCGGCTCTTCGTGTCCTCTACTTATCGCCGCTGCGTAAGCCCCGTCATCATTCATCGTGATCGAACGTTGCTCATCATGTCGCTACCTCAAACAGGGTATCGCGATGCAGCTGTTGGATGCCGCCGCCCGGACGTTCATCCACTCGTGCCCCCTCGACCCACGCAAGGGCGAGGTCGCGTTCACGCAACCCACGAGCAGCGGGCGCGCCGTCATGTTACGATGGGGTCAAGGAGCCGTTCGGATATACGACGAAGGCCAGGGTGTCGACACCTCGGCACTTCGTTGATACACTGAACACCTGCTTATTCACAATATTTCGACGTGTATCTTCTCATCATGCTATTATACATGTATCGCTATCGCTACCGGACACGACGATCCCGCAGATGTCCGCGGATCCCCCACCTCCGGGGCGTCAGCCTCGTGCGACGCGGTCCAATACGCCCCTGCACGCCTCGCTCAGGCCCAAATCGGTCTCTTCAACAGGTTGAATTCCTTGCACCACCCTATATGCGCCCCCGACGGCATCCGTTTTTCTGGCGGCTTCGATGCGTCCTTCCCCGGGCTCGAGCGGGTTGTCCGCGCATCACTGTGAGCAGCTTTGCCCGCGCGTTTCCCGTGTTCGACTGTGCGGACGCAGGTCCTGATATTACACGGAATCCTGAAGGGCGTCATTTGAGACCATCTTGCGGGCCGCCCAGAGTCAAGCGTCGAGTGCCTGAGACGCGGGGGGAAGCCCTGGAGGAGGGGTAGGATCGGCTGCTGTTCCCACTTTTGCATACACGCGAGCTTTCCAATATCTCACATAAATGAAAGTGTATAGGTCGTCGTCATGTATGAGGTACATTGATGCGTGCCCGGGAGACGTAATCTCTACGCTCACCTGATGCAGAGCACACCCAGCACAACGAAGAAAAAGTCCGGCGTGCCCTCGTGGTTCCTTGGACATACCAACTAGACACATGGCCCCCGACACCTGAATCAATAGGATCTCAAACAATGCCATCGATTCGCTGGCTGCGACGTATACCGTCCAAGGACGCATTACAGGGCTCTTCGCAGCCGCCGACGAGCCACAGTATTCGTATGATTCTGAAAGGCGAGTACACCTTTACACGAATCTCATCGGCAACCCTAAATGTACATTGTCAGTAGTCGTCGACCTATCAAGATGTTCCGACGGTAATGAGCGCATATACGCACCTCACAAATCCAAGTTGAGCAGGCTGTTTTGTTCTACTCAACTTCTGTATCCCATACCTTCACCAGACCGCCCCAGCCGCCAGAGACAACGTGCTTGCCGTCCGGGGAGTATGCAACGGACAAGACCCAGCCATCATGCGCTTCCAACGGCCCCACCACCGTCTGACCCGTCTGCGCGTCCCATATCCGGATGGTGCCATCGTCGGAGCCGGAGACGATGTACTTGCCATCCGGCGAGAATGCGACGGATAAGACATAGCCGGCGTGCCCTTGCAATGGCTCCAACACCGTCTTTCTCGTCTGCACGTCCCAGATCCGGATTGTATTGTCGGAGGACCCTGAGACGATGCGCGTGCCATCGCGAGAATATGCGACTGATCCAACCCAGCTATCGTGGCCTCGAAGCGGATCCCCGACTGGTTTCCCTGTCCCGGCGTCCCAGAGTCGGATCGTGTGGTCGCCGGATCCAGAGGCGATGCGATCCCCAGCGGGTGAAAATGCGACGCTCGTGACGTCATGACCTCGCAAAGGGTCGCCGATAGCCTGTCCCGTCTGCGCATCCCAAAGTCGGAGTGTACCGTCGCCTGAGCCCGAGACAATGCGTCTGCCGTCGGGTGAGAAGGCGACACTGTTCACACTGCCTGTATGCCCTCGGAGCGGCTCCCCGATCTGCTGCCCCGTCTCCACGTCCCACAGTCGGACGGTTCTGTCATACGAGCCCGAGGCAAGACGCTTTCCGTCTGGGGAAAATGCGACAGAGTTGACGTAGTCCGCGTGCCCCAGTAATGGCATTAGGATTTCCTTTCCGGTCTCCGCGTTCCATATACGGATTCCGTCGAGTGCGTGGCCCGCAGAGGCAATGCGTGCACCATTGGGAGAGAAGGAAACGGAAACAACCGGCCGGAACATGTCACTAGCCCTGATCACTTTCTGCAGTCCTACATAAACCCATTTGAGGAATACAACAAGTGAACATCGCGTAGCGATACTTACTGCCAACGAATATCTTCATTATTCGATCCACAGCCTCGCGAGTTCCTGATTGTTCCTGATCGACACAGGGACAGCAGTTCCTTCA